TTAACATAACGAAGAATCGCTGGATCCTGAACACCAAGTACTAGCCGGATGGGCGAGTGGAGCGAGAGCAGGCGAGGCTGGTGGTCAAGGGGTTCACTCAAGTGGCAGGAGTGGACTATGAGGAGACCTATGCACATGTGGGGAGTTACGTGACAGCACGCATACTACTGGCAGTGGCGGCTGCGTTGGATATGGAGCTGATGCAGTTGGATGTGAAGAACACATTTCTTCACGGCGTGCTGGACAGAGATCTCTACATGGAACAACCCAAGTATTACGAGGTTGGGACTCCTCGTGTCTGCAAGCTGCTGAAGAGCCTGTACGGACTCAAGCAGGGCCCGATGCTCTGGTATGAGGCCTTGGATGGGGTGCTGCTTGGGGCTGGATGGTGCAAGAGCCAAGTGGATGAGGCTCTTTACTTCAAGAGCAATGATGGGGGGTGAGATGTGCTGGCTGCTTGTGTATGTGGATGACCTACTGGCGGCCAGCTGCAGTACGGACCTGCTGGGGGAGCTGCGTGAGCTACTGCAAGGAGAATTTCAGCTGAGAGAGATCAACCCCATCGAGAAATACTTGGGGTTGCAGCTGATACGCGATAGACCCTCCCAGAAGCTGTGGCTGCACCAGTCGGCCTATGTGGAGAAAGTGCAGCGGCGCTTTTTGGCAGGGGAGCTGCCTTAGCGTATGCCACGGACCCCTCTCTCCTCCGACCCATTCAGTGCGCTGACATTTGAGGATGAGGGGTGGCAGTCAAGGCAGGAGGAGGATTACAGGCAGAAAGTGGGATCTTTGCAGTTTGCTGCCTGTACCACATGCCCTGACATCGCCTTCGCATGCAGTAAGCTGGGGTCAGGACAGACAGTGCGTAGTGATCAGCACTGGAAGGAGCTGGAGCGGTGCCTGACCTGCTTGGTGGGGACCAAGGATGCAGCCTTGGAATTCAGTGGGGGTCCAGAGTCCTTGGAGCTGATAGGGTACGCAGACGCTGATGATGCAGGAGACAAGCATAACCGAAGCAGCACAGGAGGTTACGTCTTTGTGTTTGGCGGTGCTGCAGTTGCTTGGGCGAGTCAGAGGATTTGTTGTGTCACTCTCTCCTCTACTGAGTCAGAGTATATTGCGGCAGTTGAAGCAGGAAAGGAGGCTCGCAGACTGCGCTTCCTTCTAGCAGAGTTTCAGCTGCTCAAGTGTGAGGAGCCGACGACACCCTTTGTCGATAATTCGTCTGCGATTGTTGTGGCAGGTGGCATGGGGCTCAAGGGGAGCCTCAAGCACATAGAGCAGCATCACATGTGGCTGCAGCACATGGTCAAGCGCAGGAAGCTGGATCTGCAATACATCCCTACCAGCGAGCAACCTGCTGACTATCTCACTAAAGCATTACATTTCCCAGCCTTTTCCCGTTGCTTTGATACAGTGGGACAAGTGAAGACACATGCGATGGCTTTCTCTTCAAGCCCTTTCCGTATTCCGCGCTGGGGTGCTGGTCCAAGGAAGCGGATGAAGAGCATGAGGCGTGGAAGGAAGGAGGAAGGCTGGGGCGAGTACGACGAACGCGCATTGGCAGCATTCCGTGACTATGAGCGTATCTGTGCATACGCTTCTGGCTTTACGTAGGTTTCTGCTTGTGATGGTGCCATGGCCTATCCACGGCTGTTGCGGTGTGTGTTTCATATGAAGACACATTGCAAGCGTACTGTTGATGCATAGGACCCTTGCGTACATGCTCTGTGTTCCTTTTTGGCTTGTATGCTTGTATGTGTGTGCCCTATGATTATAAAGGGCCTTGCTGTAGTAGTGCAGGGGAGTGTTGGAAGCCCTACTGCAGCTGCGGGCAGCCAGGCATTGACTGGCTTATGTCAGTGCACTGATTGCCTGGCAGCTGCGGGTTGGCGTGACCAAGATGCACGGACTGATCCTTGCTACCGAAGACTAAGTCTAGTCCGTGTGGACTGGTCCGGAGATGCCCACGACTACCAGTGACTCTGACCAGTCTTGAGTAGTCGTAGCTATCGCGATAGACTTCCGTGCGGAGCAAGGCAGCATTTGCCTTGCTGGTTGGAGTTGCATACACTACAAACCCAACCTTGCTGAGTTGGGTTGGGGAATTGGGCGGAGCGCGTTCGCCCAACCCTTCGGCAAATTCGGGGTGGTTGGTTACACACACAGCGCCACGCAACTTTGGTTGGGTTTGCACTTGCCTATATATTAGCGTGCTTATTTGCTCTTTGAACATATATATTTTTCTAGTGAACTTCTACTCTACTCAAATTTCGACCAAGTACTTGAAGGCGAACTCTGCCCAAATACCACCAGTGCCTAGCACGCTATTTGGATACCGTTACTCTGTCAGAATCGCTCCACACTTTACAAGCGCTCTCGCTTTAGCATTCCTTCAGGAGGCAGTGGTGCAGTGGGTGCGCGAGACTAGGGAGAGGGCGGACTCCGACCCGGCGAATATAATCAAAGGAGTTAAAAGGCGTTTCAAGTTTAGGGAGATCCAGGAGTATGCCATTAAGTTAGGACGGTCCTATGGCATGCTGGCCGCCTTTAAGTACGGCAGGGGCTGGATTTAGAAGGTTCTAGAAGAGAACGACTTGAGTAGGAAAGGAGAGGAGGCTAGCAGGGAAGGAGGTGAAGGCTCTGAGAATGATGAAAAGTTCGACCGAGGCGGGAGCCCAGGCTCGGAAAATCCCAAGCCGAAACGGGCGTACGCTCGGAGCGAGATTCCCTTTGAGATCCGGCTTCGGTACGAGATTGCTGTGGTTAAGCGCGCACGGCCGCACTTAGAGAATCAGGCCATTGCCGCTGCTATTAAGGCTAAGTACGGAGTGGAAATGACCCCGCTGCTAATTAGGGCTGTGGACCAACCTTCACCGCAACAAGTGGGCTTCTTCCCTGCGTACCAGTGGGCTTGTCCCCACAACCCTCGCCCCAGGCTGCTGCAGCTGCTACAGCTGGAGAGGATGTGCCTGTAGCTGCCACTGATGTGCATACTAGCCCTACAGAACACAAGGCCCGGGATGAAATGGCTGTGGATGGAGGTGGAGAGGGTTCGACAGGCGATGGTGCTATGAATGATGCTGCCACAGAGGATGGGGCAAGGGATGCTACAGCCGCTACAGATGATGGGGCAAGGGATGCTGCAGCCGCTACAGATGATGGGGCAAGGGATGTTACAGCCGCTACAGATGATGGGGCAAGGGATGCTACAGCCGCTACAGATGATGGGCAAGTGATGCTACAGCCGCTACAGATGATGGGGCAAGGGTTGCTACACCCGCTACAGATGATGGGGCAAGGGATGCTACAGCCGCTACAGATGATGGGGCAAGGGATGCAGCCGGTGCAGATGACGGGAGAAGAGACACCGCACCTGGCATGTTGGCCCTGCAGAACACAAGGCACAGGATGCTTAGGCTGCCGATGGTGATGGTGATGGTGCTACAGGCGAGGGTGCTACAGGCGAGGGTGCTACAGGCGAGGGTGCTACAGGCAAGGGTGTTACAGGCGAGGGTGCTACAGGTGCTACAGGCGAGGGTGCAACAGGCGAGGGTGCTACAGGCTAGGGTGCTACAGACGAGGGTGCTACAGGCGAGGGTTCTACAGGCGAGGGTGCTACAGGTGATGGTGCTGCTGGTAGTGGTGCTGCTGGTGATGGTGCTGCTGGTGATGGTGCTGTTCATGATGGGGCAAGAGACACCAAAGCAGATGGTGCGGCTTCGAATGGTGCTGCTACAGATGGTGGTGCTACAGATCGTGCTGCCATGGATGTCGGCATGAAAGGCGACACTGCTATGCATGGTTGAGGCAGTGGGTGGATCGGTGGATGCGGCACTAGCAGGCACTGGATAGACCGGGGCTCAAGCTACAGATAATGGGGCTGCAGGGGGCGCTACAGATGGGCGGGCTACAGGGGCCCAAGCTACAGATGGTGGGGCTACAGGGGTGGCTACAGATGGGGGGGCCGATGGCGGATCAGTGGGCGGTGCACCTGCAGGCGCTGGGTCATCTGAGGCACGAGCGAAAGACGGTGGGCTGGCAGAGGGTGGATCGCCGGGTGCTGCACCTGCAGTCACTGAGATGACGGGCCCAAGCTACAGACGGTGGGGCAGCAGATGGTGGGGCTACAGGGGGAGCTACAGATGGGGGGGCAGATGGCCGATCAGTGGGCGGTGCACCTGCAGGCGCTCGGTCATCTGAGGCACGAGCGAAAGACCGTGGGCCGGCAGAGGGTGGATCGCCGGGTGCTGCACCTGCAGTCATTGAGACGACAGGGGCCCAAGCTACAGACGGTGGGGCAGCAGATGGTGGGGCTACAGGGGGAGCTACAGATGGGGGGGCAGATGGCCGATCAGTGGGCGGGGCACCTGCAGGCGCTCGGTCATCTGAGGCACGAGCGAAAGACCGTGGGCCGGCAGAGGGTGGATCGCCGGGTGCTGCACCTGCAGTCATTGAGACGACAGGGGCCCAAGCTACAGACGGTGGGGCAGCATATGGTGGGGCTACAGATGGGGGGGCTACAGATGGGGGGTCTACAGAAGGGGGGGCTACAGATGGGGGGCTACAGATGGGGGGGCTACAGATGGTGGGGCTACAGATGGTGGGGCTACAGATGGTGGGGCTACAGATGGGGGGGCTACAGATGGTGGGACTACAGATGGGGGGGCTACAGGATGGTGGGGCTGCATATGGGGCTACAGATGGGGGGGCTACAGGATGGTGGGGTGGTAGGTGGGGTGGTGGGAAGGGCGGATGGTGAATCGGTAAAAGTTGTAACTGTAGACACTGGTTTGTCTGACACATGCTAAAGATGATGGTGCGGGGCTACAGGTGGTTGGGCTACAGGCGTTGCTACAGATGATGCGGCTACAGGCGTAGCCGGGCATCCGGGCATGCTCCTTTCAAACCTGAGATTCTCCACTTCTCCCTGCCGCTCTAATCGCACTGAAGATACCATCTTGCTTTCCTTTCAGGAAGGGTGCATTAGTCCTCGAACCAGTGCATTAGGAGTTGTATTGTACATGGTAATGCCTCTGCTTGATTATATAATGCAGCAAGTAACAAACTCCTACCAGTATGTAGTATGCTACCAGCAAGTAACAAACTCCTACCAGTAGGAATGATGGAGTAGGAACTCAGAAGCAACCTACCGGTAGGTGTCATTGATGCTACTGGGTGCCCCCAACATTTTACCAGTTCACTACTGCTGCTGCTGCTACAGAAGGGTCCGCAACCTCCACTGTGTCCATAGCAACTGCAGTACTCCGTTCTCTCCTGCAACTGCCGCATGTCCTGCCTCTGCTGCTGATGCTGCTTCTCCATTTGTGTTCACAGCTGTAGCATCAATGACACCTGGTAGTGCATCCTTTTGATCTGCTGATGCAGCCTTTCTATTTGCTTCCTCAGCTGCTGCGTCCGCGCGTCCTGCTGTTTCTACTCCCTCACCTTTGCCCACAGCTGTTGTATCCAAAACACCCGCTAATGCATCCCTCCATTTGCGTCCCAAGCTGCTGTTGTACCTGAACCCGCTAATACATCCTCTCTATTTGCTTCCTCACCTGCAGTCGCTACTTCGAATCCCAGCTGCCAAGTCCAAAACACCTGCTAGTGCATCCTTTCGATTTGCTTCCTCAGCTGCTTCATCCGCGCCTCCTGCTGCGCTGCAAACCGCTGCGCCTGCTGCAGCTGCTGCTCCAGATGCTGCTGCTGCCACTGCTGCTGCTGGGTCGGGTACATGAACTGCTGCGCCTCCCCCTGCAGCTTCTGCAGCTGCTCCTGCAGCCGGCCCACGTGCTGCCTCTGCTGCTGATGCTCCCGCTGAATCTGCTTCAGCTGCTGTGTAAGCAACGCTCTACGACCAGGCACACCTTGCTGCTGCTGCTGCTGCTGCTGCTGTTGTTGCTGTCGCTGCTGTTGCTGCTGCTGCTGTTGCTGCTGCTGCTGCAGTTGAGGGGATTGCAGCTGCTGCTGCTGCCGGGGGAAGGTTTGCTGCTGTTGTCGTTGCTGCTGCTGCTGCTGCTGCTGCTGCTGCTGCTGCTGCTGCTGATGCAGCAATAACTGACCCAATTGGGCGGCAACCTGACCTCCCATTCCACTAGCAGTACCAAAACCAACGCCTGCGTTTCTTGTTCCACCAGCGTTTAGCGTTCCACCAGCATTTAACACTCCACTGGCACTTAGTGCATTCAGAAGCTGGGCCAAACCAGCACCCCCCACCCCAGCAACAGCAGTTGACCCGCTTCTAGAAGCTCCAATCCCTGCCCTAGCAGCACCAATCCCCACCCTAGAAGCCACGGCAGCACCTAGAGCAGCAGCGGCCCTTTCAGGCGTGACTGACGCCGGGAGAGGCAAGCCCGCCCCAGATGCAGCCCGTGAGGCAGCCTGCGCCATCAGAGCAAACGCCTGGCCCGGGTTGCTGCCAAGGGCAGCAGATGCTGCTGCTGCTCCACTGTTCAATGCAGCTGATCCTGAGACGGTGTTGCCATTTCCATCATGCATGGATTTCCTCCTCTTCTTGTTACGAATTTCCTCCTCTTCCTCAACGTCCTCATCCTTGACATAATCACTATCGCCAGAATCACTATCGTCAGAATCACTGTCGTCATAATCACTATCATCCTCATCCTCGTCACTCAACTCGGCGACTCGCTTTCGCTTGCCTCCTCTCTCCCGCTCTCTCCTCCGCTTCTTTCCTCCTCTCCGCCCACCCCTCTTCCCCCCTTTCCTGCCACTCCTCTTTCCTCCTCTCCCCCCTCTTCTCCTCAACTCCAGTTCATCGTTATCTGAATCCTCCTCACTCTCGCTATCACTCCCACTTCCACCCTCACTTCCACTCTCACTCTTATCTTTCCTGCCTCCCGTCTTTCTTCCTTTCCCCCCCTTTCTCCCTCTTCTTCTCACCTCCACTACATCTTCGTCTGAATCCTCCTCACTCTCACTCTCACTCTCACTCTCACTCTCACTCTCACCCTTCCTACCTTTCCTCTTCGCTCCTCTCCTACCTCTTCTCCTCACCTCCACTACATCTTTATCGGAACCCTCCTCACTCTCACTCTCACTATGACTCCCACTTTCACTCTCACTCTCATTCCTCTTATGCTTAACCTTCCTGGCTCCGCTCTTTCCTCCTTCCCCCCTCCCCCTCCCTCTTCTCCTCACCTCCACAGCATCTTCGTCTGAATCCTCCTCACTCTCACTCTCACCCTCACCCTTCCTGCCTTTCTTCTTCCCTCCTCTCCGCCTTCTTCGCCTCACCTCCACTACATCTTGTTCTGAGTCCTCCTCACTTCCACTCTCACTCCCACTATCACTATCAGTCTCACTCTCTCTCTCTCGCTCACTCTTACTCCTCCTCTCACCCTTACCCCTCCTCTCACTCTTACCCCTCCTCTCACTCTTACCCCTCCTCTCACTCCTGCTAGAACCACCACTCCACTCCTGCTCCTCTTCCTTCACTATGACCTCAATCACCTCTGCCTGTCGTCTACTGCCGCGTCTTTCCTGCCCATGGCTACTCCTCTCCCGCCCATTCTCATCCCTCTCTCCCCCATTGCCACTCCTCTCCCGACCATTGCCACTCCTCTCCCGACCATTGCCACCCCTCCCGCGCCCATGGCCACCCCTCTCTCCTCTCCCGCCACCCCTTTCCCTGCCATCATTTTCCAGATCACTGCCGCCCCTCTCCAGATCACTGCCGCCCCTCTCCTGATCACTGCCGCCCCTCTCCAGATCACTGCCGCCCCTCTCCTGATCACTGCCGCCCCTCTCCAGATCACTGCCGCCCCTCTCCAGGTCATTGCCACCCCTCTCGCTCCTGTCCCCTCCTATCCGTCTCTCTGTTTCTCTCCCCTCACGGTCTTTCCCGCCCCCATCTTCGCCTGACAGTCTCTCTACTTCTCTCTCCTCATCGTCCTTCACTCCTTCTGCTCCCCCACCAACCGAAGCATCCGTGTTCTGAGGTGCCTCCCCTGCGCCCCCCCACCCCTTTCCCCTTCCCCAACGCCGCCCCTCTCATCCCTATCTTCGCCTGCTCCCCCATCAACTGGGGCATACGTGCACTGAGACGCCTCCCCCGCCCCCCCTCTACCCCTTTCCCCTTCTCCTGTCCGTCTCCCTGCTTCTCTCTCCTCACCGGCCTTCTCTCCATCTGGCCCCCGGCCTAGCAGCACATCCGTATTCTGAGCTGCCTCCCCTGCCCCCCCACCGACCAGCATGGCCCATGCAGTGTGGAAGGAGATGTTTCGCTTACCTGGCCTCTTTTTCACAGGAGCTTCTGTCTTCGACCCATCCATTCCCGCCTCACTCGAGCTTACAAAGAGCTCTTTTTCTGTCCTCGTTTTATCTGTCTTCGTTTTCTCTGACTTCGTTTGATCTGCCTTCAACCCGTCCTCTCCACCTTTCTGAGGCGCTTGAAAAGGTTTCCCAAGCCTGGTCGGTTCCCCTGCTGCCTCATGCTTTTCGCCTATCACCTTCTTTCGGTCGCTCCCACCCCACTTCTCTTTCCTCCCCAAAGCCCGTTCCTCTGCCTTTCTTCTCCCCTTCTCTCTCCCTCCACCCTTCGCCCTCACTCTCTTTTCGCGCACTCTCTCCTGCTCTCGTCTTCCCTCCTCTCGCCTTCCCTCCTCTCTCAGTCTCTCCTTCCCTCGCACTCTCTCCTTCTCCCTCTCCCTCCTCTCCTTTCTCCGCCCTTCCCCACGACCCTCTTCTCTAACCCCGTCTTCTGAAGCCCTGCCATCCCCCCCTCCGGCTCCTCCGTCTCCTCTCACTCCTCCCCCTCCACTCCCTCTCTCTCCTCCCTCTTCCCAAGAACCTCCCCCTGATGCTCTTGGTAGCTGTTGCACAGACGTGAATGGCGAGTCAGGGTAATCAGAGCCATTGCCAGACAGACCCGCACCCGCCTCCCAGTCCCCACCGCCCCATGCTCCTTGCTGCTGTTGAGGCTGTTTAGACGCACACTTGGGCATGCGCTTGCCACGCGCAGACCCAGGGGTGGGTATATGGCTGTTGAGATCAGCACCAGGGGAGCCAGTAAGGTTATCCGCCCAAGACACACCACCGCCTAAGGGTCTTTGCTGCCGCTGTGTGGACATGTCAGCAGCACGAGGGCTGGAAAAGTCTCCTGCCCAAGATGCACCAGCACCCATTGGTCTCTGCTGCCGCTGTGCGAACGTGTTTGCAGACGTGGGTAAAGAAGGGTTGAAGCAAGCAGCACGAGGGCTAGTAAAATCTCCGGCCCATGATGCACCAGCACCCATTGGTCTCTGCTGCTGCTGCTGCTGCTGCTGCATTGATGTGTTTCGAGACCTGGGCAGAGGGGAGTTGAGGCCAGCACCACGGGGGTTAGAGAAGTCACCGGCCCATGATGCACCAGCACCCATTGGTCTCTGCCGCTGATGCTGCTGCTGCTGCTGCATCGATGTGTATGGGGGGGGCGTGCTTTGAGTCGCGCCGAGGTAAGCAGAGCGAATTCCAGAGAGCCCTTTTGCCTGTGACCCACCATACCCACCAGCACCACCAGACATGCCGGCACCACCATCATACCCACCAGCACCACCACCATACCGACCAGCACCACCACCATACCGACCAGAACCACCACCATACCCACCAGCACCACCACCATACCGACCAGCACGACCAGACCCACAAGCACCGCCATACCAACCAGCACCCCGCTTGATGACCAGCTGTCGATTTCTCGACAAAGATGTGTACAGACGTGAGTTTAGAGACGATTTAGGATCGTTGGGAGAAGCAGAACGATTGCCTGTGAGCTCTTCTTCCGCCCATGAATCACCACTGCCATCACTAGCACCATCCCCACCATCATCACTATCGCTATCCCCACCGCTATCCGATCTGTCTGCTGGGGTTTGCTGCCGCTCTGGAGACGCCTGGCGATCGGCACGCCGCCTTCCCCAAAGCGACGGCAGAGGGGGGTCGACGGCTGCAGCAGCGCGAGCAGCTCTCAGCTTCTTACCTTCGGCCGAAGGGCTTGGCACAGTGCGTCGGCCAAAGGAAGCAGCACGAGTGGACTTGCGCGTGCTCGCGGCAGGGACGTCGTATCGGGCAGTCTCGTCGGGGTAAGCAGCATGGGTGGTTCTGGCGGGGTAAGCAGCACAGGTGGTTCTGGCGGGGTAAGCACCACCACCACTGCGACCGCTGCAACCACCCCCACCACCCCCACCAGTACCGCCACTCTCAGTGTGGGTGTGCAGCCTGATGTATTCGCTAAGCCAGCTCGGGCCATAGAGCGTCCGCATGAGGCTGGAGACGTCCGCATCATCCGCCCACTTCTCCAATTCGTACGGATCAGCTTTCCGGTCGTACGGGTCAGACAAAAGACCAGCAGATGTGACCCTCCATCTTTTCTTCCCCCTCCCTTGCTGCTGCTGCTGCTGCTGCTGCTCCTGCTCCTCCTTGCCCACTCTCTTCTTCCCCCCTCCTCCTTTTCCCTCGCCTGACTCCATCTCCAACACATGATCTTCATTATCATCATCACCATCCCCCCTTTCCTCCGCCTCCTCGTTGTTCCCATCCTCCTCCTCATTCCCCTCCTCCTTTCCCCCCTCCCCACCCCCCCCTCTCCCTCTGCTCCCTTCCCTCCTCCCCCCTTTTCCCGCTCCCCTCCTCCCGCCCCTGCTGCCTCCACCTTCTCAAACCTCTTCTTCCTCCTATTCCACCGCATCCCCCTCTTCCGCATCTCCTCCTCCTTCCCCTTGGGAATATCCATCCACCAATCACTCTGCTTCAACAATGACCAAACCGTAGACTCGTACATGGGGCTCCTCCAAGCCTGCAGGGCAGCTTCGGCAAGAGTGGCGCTTTTGAGGCCCGGGAAGGAATAAGCCACGAGGCAAACTGCACGCTTTTGGCCTGGAGTGAGCACGAAGCAGCGGCGGAATTCCATAGGTAGATTGGAGCGTCGACGTGCCCGCAGACGCGGGGGGGCCGTGGTTTGGACGGGTTGAGAGGTGTGCGAGGGAGTTGAGGGATGGGGGAGGTGGGAATTGGGAGGGGCGTTTGGATTCGGAGGGGGGTTGGGAGTGGGGGGGGCGTTGGGAGTGGGGGGAGCGTTGGGAGTGGGGGGAGCGTTGGGAGTGGGGGGAGCGTTGGGAGTGGGGGGAGCGTTGGGAGTGGGGGGAGCGTTGGGAGTGGGGGGAGCGTTGGGAGTGGGGGGGGCAAGGGCGAGGATGATCGGGGCGGGGGACGAAATAGAGGTGGGTGGAATGGAGGATGGAGGCGCTTGTGGCACTGGTACAGTTTCAGGTGTTGGTACAGTTTCCGGTGCCCGTACAGTTTCAGGTGCCCGTACAGTTTCAGGTGTTTGCTGTGCAGATGCCGATTGGGGCGCGGGCTGTGCAAATAAGAAGTCAGGCAGGCGCAGCAGGGTTATAGAGGGAGAGCTCTTCTGCTGCTGCTGCTGCTGCTGCTGCTGCTGCTGAGATTGGGAAGGTGGGTTCGCCCTGGCAAGACCGCTGACAGCAGCATGCCCAACCGTAGCACCAGCAGGACCGCTGAAACCAGCAGCAGCACCACCACCTCGGCCAGCAGCAGCAATAGCAGCAGCAGGGGCAGCCAAGAGGCTGTCATAGCCCGTGTTGCCGCTGCGGTACTTGGAAAGCCAGTCAGCGCCCAGCACGGCCTGCATGAGGCTAGCCACGTCAAAATCATCCACCCATTTCTCCACTGCATACGGGTCTGACTCTCGACTGCCTGTGCCATTGCTGGCATCCCCAACTCCATCACCCATCTCACGCACTCTCTCCCCCTCCTCTTCCTCCCCCTCCCCCTCATTGTCATCATCATACTCCCCATCTGACTCGTCCTCCTCCTCCTCCTCGTCTTCCTCATCTTCCTCCTCCCCATCTCCCCCCCCCTCCTGCTCTCCCTCTTCGCCATTCCCTCCCTTCCCTCCCTCCCGCCCCATCCCATCTTCCCCGGCCCCCTCACCCCCCACTCCCTCCTCCTCCCTCCTCTTCCGCACCTTATACCGCCCCAACATGCCTTCCACCCAGCCTCGGCCGTACCTAAAGCCAGGAGGCGCATCTAGAGACGGTGCTAGCTTCTTTGCCATGTCACCAATCATGTCTAGCGTTAGGAACACAGGGGAGGCGCCCTGCCCCTTCCCTCTCCCCGCTCCACCTTTCCCTCCTTCCCTAACTCCTCCTGCTACTTCTCCTGCTCCTGCTACTGCTCCTGCTCCGGCTCCTGCTCCTGCCCCTTCTGCTCCCCCCCTTGCCCCCCCTCCCTCCCGTTCCCCCTCCTTTTCTCTCTCCTTTTCCCCCTCCTTCCCCCCCCCTTTTCCCCCTCCTTCCCCCCCCCTTTTCCCCCTCCTTCCCCCCCCCTTTTCCCCCTCCTTTTCCCCCCCCTTTCCCCCTCCTTTTCCCCCTCCATTCCCCCCTCCTTTTCCCCCTCCTTTCCCCCCTCCTCACCCCCCTCCCCCCCCTCCTCTACCTCCACCACCAGCATCCCATCCCTGATCCTCCCCCTCCTCACCAGCTCTTCCGCCCCTATCTCCTCAATCCACCTCCCCAGAGCCTCTTCCAGCCTCGCACGCTTCCCCACCTCCGCTCCCACCCCTACCTTCCTCTTCTTTCGCTTCCTCCACCTCCACTTCTTCCCCGGTTTCTTGCTCATCTCCGCCTCCTTCCCCCGGGGAATCTTCATCCACCACCAGCCGTCTCTCACAGTGTACGCGACTGTAGCGCTGAAAATCCGCACCCCCCAAGCCGCCTGGACAGCCTTGGCGAGGTAGGCTTGGCGCAGGTTCGGCAGGGCGCGGCGCACGATGCAGACGGCCCGCCGCTGCCCTGTATTCAGCACTGACCCGTGGCCGCGAACGTACTTTCTTTTGGGGAGGGCCACGGAAGAGTGCGGAGGGTATGTGGCTGGGTGCAAAGAGTGTGAGGTGTTGAAAAGTAAGGTTGGCCCTCCAGAAGAGTGCGGAGGGAATGTGGTTTGGTGGAAAGAGTGTGAGGCGTTGAGAATTTGCCCAGCTGGGATGGCCTGGGAAGAGTGTGGGGCCCTCGCGGTGTAAGGGCCTTGGGAGGAGTGTGGGGCGTTTGGAGCGGCAAGGGCGAGGATAATCGGAAAGGGAGACGAGACACTGGTGGTTGCAGTGAGGCTTGGGCTTGCAATGCTGTTGTTAGCATCAGCATCAGAACACTTCTGTGTACCAGACTTCCGCTGTGCATCTTGGTCCCCAAGGCCGCCTCCTTGTGCGGCTTCATCCAGCTCGATCGCCTCAACAGCCTCCGTGGTTGCGCAATGTGCCGCATTCCTCTGCTTCTCCACTACACCACCATCACCACCATCACCACCCCCATCATCCCCATCACCCCCATCACCATCCCCATCACCATCCCCATCCCCATCACCATCCCCCATGCCATCCCCCTCAGCCCCCTCACGAGCATCCTCCTGACCGTCCTCCTCCGGTGTTCCACCCCTCCTCTCCCTGATCCTCCTCCCCTCGTCTCGCCCCTCCTGCTCCTCCTGCTCGTCCTCCCATCGAACCCGCTTGACCCCTCTCCTCCTCATCCCTGTTGCACCTGCAGCATCACCAGGACCGTCGTCAGAAGCAGCAGCAGCAGCAGCAGCAGCAGCGCCAGCATCACCAGCATCACCAGCAGCGGCATCAGCATTTTTGTCAGCTACATTAAATGCGTGCCTTCCAACATCTGGCCCCTCTTCTCCTATTCCCTTTCCTTCTGTCCCTTCCGTATCCACATTCCCCCTACCCCCGCCTTCTGTTCCTGTCCCCTCCCCTTCTATGCCTCTCTCCGCTTCTATGCCTCTCTCCCCTTCTATGCCTCTCTCCCCTTCTATGCCTCTCTCCGCTTCTATGCCTCTCTCCCCTTCTATGCCTCTCTCCCCTTCTATGCCTCTCTCCGCTTCTATGCCTCTCTCCCCTTCTATGCCTCTCTCCGCTTCCCCTCTCTCCGCTTCCCCTCTCACCACTTCCCCTCTCTCCGCTTCCCCTCTCACCACTTCCCCTCTCACCACTTCCCCAGACGCTGTTGCGCTAGCTGGCGTCTCCTCCTCTTCTTCTTCTTCTTCTACTAAGAGGTCAGTCAAAGCATCCTCAGACCAGGGGTTATTTACCCTGGGATAATCCCCTTCCCCTACATCTCCATCATCAGGCTCAGGGCTACTCATATCGCCCCCTCCCCCTCCCCCTCCTTCCCCCCCTACCTCTCCTTCCCCATCCGTTCCCCCATCCGCATCCCACTCTCCCTGTAACTCCACAACCCCACTGCCACTCGCCCACCCGTCCCCATCTGTTCCTGTACCCCATATAGCGTGTCCCGCTGCTGCAACTGCGCCTCCTGCCCCTGCTGTCTCGTGTAGCACCTGCCTAGCAGCACGGTCAGCCGTTCGAATCTGGAAGTTCATATAACTCACCAACCCACCGTCCCATTCCTCCTCCTCCTCTCCCCCCACCTCCTCCTCCTCCTCTTCCTCCTCTCCCTGCCCTCCTCCCTCCTCAAACCCAAACCTCTTCATAAACCTCCTCGCCCATTTCTTCCCGTACCTAAATTCTCTCCTCAGTTGAAACCCTGGCCCGATCTCCTTCGCCTTCGCTATAATCTCCTCCCGTGTAACCTCCCTCTTTTCAGTCTCCTCCTCTTTAACCACCCACTCCGCTAATGCTTCTTCCATTCGAAATAGGTTCGGATCAGGCCTGGCCCCAGCCACAATCCCCAACCACTTCTCGTGCCGCGTCTCTATTCTGTTAAACGTTCTCGGATTCATCCACACGCCGTACTTAGCCCTAATAGCAGCAGTAATTACCTTATTCTCTAAGTGCGGCCGTGCGCGCTTAACCACAGCAATCTCGTACCGAAGCTGGATCTCAAAGGGCATCTCGATCCGAACCTCAGCACGATTCGGCTTGGACTTTTCCGTGCCTGGGCTTCCGCCTCGGTCCAATCCTTCACAACCAGCAACACCAGCACCCGCACCAGCACCAGCACCACCAGAATCATCACCACCACTAGCACCAGCACCACCATCACCACCACCCCCGCCACTACTACCTCCCCCCAAACCTGTTCCAGACTCCCCATCCTTCCCCGACCCGTCCCCTCCGCTCTGCTTCCTCTCCCCCCCTCGCCCATTCAAGCCGCCATCACTCAAAACCTTCAGCATCCACTCCCGCCCGTAGCTATGCTCCGGAGGCACACCGAAACTCGGCCCGATCTCCATCGCGTGATCCGTCATCTCTTTCAGCGTAACGAGCCTCGTTATTCCGTTCAGAATGTTCCTAGGGATAAGTGCCCTCCGCTGCCTCGTCTCGCGCACCCACTGCACCAGCGCCGCCTCCATCTCTGGATTCCGATACCTCTTCTTCCACCAGTTCTTCCAGTTCATTAGTACCGCAGGGTCAGCCTTCGCCCGGAGAATAATACTCTCCACCTTAGATTCTCTAAGCGTCACGCCGTACAGTTTGGCGACCGCGCGCGCTATTTGCTCGCTAGTGAGGATGGGGTGGGCGTTCTTCAACGCGACGATCTCCCGCTCCAGTTTCGGGTCCACCTCGATTCGCTGGTTCTTCCGCTTCCGAAGCGAAGGTCTCGGTTCGGATGCCGTGCCTCCAACCGAACCAGCCACGGGTTGGGACTCCGGCTCTGATGGGCCCGCCGAGCCTGTCGCTGCTGCTGACGTGGCAGCTGGCTGCTGCTGCTGCTGCGGCTGCTGCTGGGGCGGTGAGGGGGACGGATTGGCTGCGGAAGGCGCAGCAGGATCAGCCTGCATACCTTTCCGACCAGACGCGCCATCCTGACCGGAATCTGAAACCCTCGGTTGGAGCATCTCAAAGCAGTCAGACGAAGCTTGTAAATCAACCGAAAAACGGGATGTCCTTTTCTAAATTAGCTTCTAGCTCCGCAGTCGTCGCTGCTGGACGATCCTATTCACAACGAATTGCGTGCCTTGTTTCCAGAGCAGTTGAGCATTGGAAACGAGAAGGGCCGTAACACTTCAGCGGGCTTTGACGACTAGACCTGGGCAGCGAGACCTAAACTACGACGAGACGTGAACCCCACGACGTTCCTGAAGATACGAGGATCCATTATAGTGAATAATAAAAAAAAAACACTTCAGCGGGCTCTGAAACTAGAAGGAGCCCCAAAAGGATTCTAACTGAACTGACGGCGAGCAAAAACCTACGACACGCCTGAAGATACGACTAGCCTAAATCTACGACGAGCCTAGCTAAACTACGCTAAAAACAACGAGAAATCGCCTAACTACTGCTTTACCAGAATTCGCAGTGAATCTTGTCGTGAGTGTGTCCAACTCGGACCTAAGGGCGACTTGAGGAATATTCAAGCCATGGTTTTGGCGGGAACTGACAGGGGTGATATGCAGCAGTGGAAGCAGGGACAGAAAAGAAACCGAGAGTTGGCCTCAACATCAGGCAGAACCAGAGATCTGAAATAACTCGTGCTTCTGCTAGCAGAATACCCCAACCCTATCCTTTCAGCGACGAGATGGCAATTTCGATTAATTTCGTCGCCCGAGGTGGAAAGATATCTTCTCATCGGAAACGGCAAACGGAATCGACGGTGTAAATCAGGCCGTTCGATCACACCAGTTTGTAATCGACGGCAGGGAACAGCTGAAAGGGAGAGAGGCTTCTGCTTCTCCCACAACCGAAATACCCCACCATTCTCTTCGCAAGACAAAGAAGCAAATCTCGATAATTCAGTCGCGCGAAGTGGAAACAAAACGTTTTCGACAGGAGGGGCAGACGAAATCGACGGCTGATACGGCCGTACCTGACGACCGCGGGTGTAATCGACGGCAGCTAGGTGACGACAGCTGTTCGGCGTTCTCGAGATCATCGCAAACGATGACAGGTTCCCACTGCACATGGAAACATCGAGAGAGAAATGAATTGGCGACCATTTTGCATCACAACAATATCATAATGAACAATCTTAGAAATATATACCTCAACATAATTGTACACTAGCCTATCAAGTGTTGCTCATTCTTCAACCATTTAGATATCAGTAAAACACATAAGCACCCTTCAATGCGAGCCACATACCACCACTTAAGCCTAAAGTCAGTCAGCAACTGCGAGCACATCATCGTCATTATCATCATTACCATCATCGCCTTCGTCCCCACCACCACCTAACTCCACTTCCACCTCAGACCCACCACCACCACGCACTACTTCCACTACATCGTCGTCATCACCATTATCGTCGCCACCAGCTATACAATCACCACCATCGCAACCACCCCCGCCGCCACCAGCAGCAGAAGCCCCACGAGGAGGGCGAGTGGAAGCAAATTGGCCGAGCAGGAGCGAGGACATGGAGCTCGGGGCACGCGGAGGATCTCCTGGTCCACCTGGGCCACCTGGGTCGCCTGGTTCTGCAGCGGCAGCAGCAGCAGCAGTGCTCGTAATTTCTTGCTGAATCGCCAGCAGCCCACGCATGGATGGTGCCAGTGGCACAAGCGGCGATTTCTGAGACGCCTCAAACGCGGGTGATGGTAGCGGAATGGGAGGCCGAGCTGAGGGGCTGACTTGGGACAATGGTAGTAAAATGGGAGGCTGATTTGAGGGGCCATCTTGGGAAGCTGGCGGAGCGGCATGGGCCGGTTCTGGGGGGCTATCTTGGGCTCTGGACTGCTCGCCTCGCGCACTATGTCCCACTGTACTGTGCCCCACTGCTTTTTCTCCCACCGTACTGTGCCCCACTGCTTTTTCTCCCACTGTACTGTGGACCATGGCACTCTGGGCCATGATACTTCGGGCCCATGCGGGTTGTACACCTCTGGCTTTGGCCTGTCGCCAATCGCTACCCTCTCCTTCCATCCGCTGCCTCTTGGTTTCGCTCCGCAGCACCCTCCCTTGGAACCCACGAGCCACTCCGCCCCCTGGCCGTCTGACTGCAAACCGCTGGACTGCTGAAGGTGCCTTTTGACTCGACTCGAAGGTCGCCGCTCTCCCTTGGAACCCACGAGCCATTCCGCCCGTTGGCCGGCTGACCACAAACTGCTTGGCTGCCGAAGGCTCAGCAGGAGGACGAGCACCTGAAGCAGCAGCAGCAGCAGCAGCAGCAGCAGCAGTGCGAGTCCTTCTAGCCATGGCAGCTCTCACAGCAGCAGCAGCAGCAGCACGGGTCCTGGAAGCAACGGCTGTAGAAGCGGGTCTGCACTTGGCAATAGGAGCAGCTGTAGCAGCAGCAGGGGCAGCTGTAGCAGAAGCAGAATTATGGGTTCTTGCAGCTACAGTTGTAGCCGTAGCAAACTCATCCTTAACAGGAACATGGGTACTTCCAGTCACCCCAGTAGCAGCAAACCCAGCCTTAGCAGCAGCAGCACGGTTCCTTGCGGCTATAATCGTTGCTGCAGCAAACCCAGCCTTAACAGCAGCCCGGGTCCTTCCAGTCACAGCAGCACCACCAAACCCAGCCCTGGCGGCAGCAGACGCACGGTGCCTCGCAGCTATAGTCGTTGCTGCAGCGAACCCAGCCTTGACAGCAGCCCGGGTCCTTCCAGTCACGGTTGTAGCAGCAAACCCAGCTTTCACAGCGGCACGGGTCCTTCCAGTCACGACTGTAGCAGCAAACCCAGCTTTCACAGCGGCACGGGTCCTTCCAGTCACAGTTGCTGTAGCACCAAGCCCAGCATTAGCAGCAGCAGACGCATGGTTCCTTGCAGCTATAGTTGTTGCTGCAGCAAACCCAGCCTTCACAGCAGCCCGGGTCCTTCCAGTCACAGCTGTAGCAGAAAATGTGCGAGCAGCAGGTGCAGCTTGTGCTGTTGTAGCAGCAGCAGAAGCGCATGTCCACACACCCACAGCTGTAGCAGCAGGCACAGCTGTGGCAGAAGGCACATCTGTAGCCGCAAGAGTGGCTGTGGCAGCAAGTGCAGCAGCAGCAGAAGGCACAGCTGTGGCAGCAGGCACACCTGTAGCAGCGGGTACAGCTGTGGCAGCAGGCACGGCTGTAGCAGCGGGCACAGCTGTGGCAACAGGCGCGGCGGTAGCAGCGGGCACAGCTGTGGCAGGAGCAGGAGCAGGCGCAGGAGCAGGCGCAGGAGCAGGCGCACCGAAGGCAAAGCCAGAAGGGGCTGGAAGGGCAAGGATGACTCCAAAGGTATGGGATGAAGGGGAGTGTGCCCCTTCTGCTGCTACTCCTGGTGCTGCTGCTCCTGGTGGTGCTGCTGCTTCTGTTGGCCCCCCTGCTGCAGTTGAGAGTGTGGGACGAGCCGCACGGTCAGTTGGCCTGACAATACCCGCAGGGGCAGCGGCAGAGGCAGGTGAGGCACGCAGGGCAGGTGGAGCAGGCGGGGTAAATCTGTAAGCAAGTGGAGCGGGTCTGTTGGCAGACAGAGTGGATCGTTTACCAGCAGCAGCACCCGGGGCAGAAACAGGGGCGTTGTAGTGGGGGCGTCGGGTGCGGATTCTGATCCGAGGCAAAGCAGGTGCAGCAGCAGCCGCCGCAGTAGCAGCAGTACCTGCAGTAGCAGCAGCAGCAGCAGCAGCAGCAGCAGCAGCAGCAGCAGCAGCAGCAGCAGCAGCAGCGGTAGAAGGCTGTGTCAGTGGAACGGAGGTAGGAGGGGTGAAGCTGGGGCGAGAGCCTCTAGGGCCCTGACTCATAGCAGCTCGACTGCAAGGGTCAAGAGTGAAGTTGGAAAGAGGGCCTCTGGGGCCGTGAATAAAGTCCAAGAGAGGGTTGCTGGAAGGGAGGGTGGGAGGACGAGTGGAGGAGGAGGGGGGAATTACAGACGAGGATGGGAGTGGTGCAGCGGTGCGGGAAGGTGGAGGGGGAGGGGAGGTGTCGAGAGGTGGGGAGGTACAGAGTAGGGGGGGAGGTGCTGCAGAAGAGGGGGGTTGTGCAGAGGAGGGGGGAGGTGCAGCAGGCTGGTTAGATCGCCCTGCTGCAGGGGTCTGTAGAAGTGAAGGGCGGGCGGCAGGGGGTTGAGGGGCGGGGCCCGGGGCAGCAGGGGGTTGGGGTTCGGGGCGTGGCTGCTGTGTGGGACGGGAAGGTTCGGTGTACCGGAGCGGTTCGCAGGTGGCAGTGGAGGGTAGAGCAGCAGCAGGGGGAAGAAGAGCAGCAGCAGTGGAGGGTATAGCAGCAGCAGGGGGAAGAAGAGCAGCAGCAGCAGCAGCAGAGCGGGTAACGAGGGAGGCAATCAGCTGCACTAGAGGGGGCAGAGCAGAAGCAGCAGCACCACTGGGCAGAGCAGAAGCAGCAGCACCACTGGGCAGAGCAGAAGCAGCAGCACCACTGGGCAGAGCAGAAGCAGCAGCACCACTGGGCAGAGCAGAAGCAGCAGCACCACTGGGCAGAGCAGACACAGCAGCAGCAGCAGCAGCAGTAGCAGCGGGGCGAGGGTGCAGCATGGGCTGCATTGGAGGCTGGGTAGCTATGGAGGAGATCTGCTGCAGTAGGGCGGGCAACGACACAGCAGCTGTGGGAAACGAAGCAGCAGCAGTGGGAAAAGAAGAAACAGCAGCAGCAGCAGCAGTGGGGCGAGGGTGCTGCATGGACGCCTGGGGTTGGTTGGCAATGGAGGCAATCTGCTGCTGTAGGGTGGGCAGAGGCACAGCAGCTGCAGTGGCAGCAGCGGCAGTGGGGCAGGGAGGCTGCATTGGCGTGGAGTGGGTATTCTGTGTTGCCATGGAAGCAATAAGCTGCAGTAGGGAGGGAGGAGCAGCATTGGAACTTTGCATCGGCGGAGGAGGCAAAGCAGTAGGCTGAGAAGACAGGGAGGCGATCTGCTGCAATAGGGTGGGAAGTGAAGCAGCAGCGGGAAGAGAAGCAGCAACAGCAGCAGCAGCAGCAGTAGCAGCAGCGGAACGAGGCTGCTGTGTCAAAAACGACCCCAGAGACAGTGCCACATTGGGCCCAAAGGTCTGGGCTATATTTTGCGCAAGGGAGTGCAGCGATGAAACAGAACCGGAGGAGGAAGAAATCTGGCTCGCAAGAAGACAGGCGAGGAGGGCCGCTGCCTCCCTCTCTCCTGCTCCTGTGGATGGGGCTGCCGCTGCTGCTACTGCCTGATTGGCTGCTGCCTGATTGGCTGCTGCTTGGTTGGCTGCTGCTTGGTTGGCTGCTGCTGCGTTTGCTGCTGCTTGCATGAATTCCCTGACCCCTACACCTGTGGAGGGCACTGCAGTTGTCTGAGCTCCTCCGTGATTGGCTACACTGACAGCAGTGGTTGCGGGGATTACAGTTGCGGACGGTGCATATGAATTCAACGGAGAAGCAGCAGGAGGGGAGACAGGAGGAGTAGCAGGAGCAGGAGCAGCATCAGGAGCAGGAATGGCAGCAGGAGCAGGAAGAGGAGCAACAGGAGCAGGAGCATCAGAAGCAGGAGCAGGGGCAGGAGCAGGAGCAGGAGCAGGAGCAGGAGCAGGAGCAGCAGGGGAAGCATCAGAAGCCGGAGCAGGAGTAGCAGAAGGAGCAGAAGCAGGAGCGGGAGCAGCAGGTTCAGCAGCAGGATCAGCAGGATCAGCAGTAGCAGAAGGAGCAGGAGAAGAAGCAGGAGGAGCAGAAGTAGGAGCAGCAGCAGGAGAAGGGGCGGCATCTGGAGGAGCAGCAGCAGGGGCATTGGCGGCAGGAAGAGCAGCAGCAGCAGCAGGAGCAGCAGCGGGGGCAGGGGGGGCAGCAGGAGCAGCAGGGCCGACAGTGGCAGGGGCGGCAGTGCCAGCAACAGCAGCTGCAGCAGGAGAAGCGGGCACAGGAGGAGCAGCAGAAGCAGTAGTGGAAGCGACAGCAGTGACAGCAGTAGGAGCAGCAGCAGCAGCAGCAGCAGCAGCAGTAGAAGGACCAACGCCTGTCTGTGCCTGTGCCTGTGCCTGTCTAGCCAGTTCTGCGAATTTTGCATACTCTGGAGTGTCCTTCGTGAGAGCAAGCAGGTACCTCAGCTGTTGATTGTCACGAGCTATTTCAGCCAGGAGGGTGGGACGGGAAGAGCCTGCACCAGTTGCACCCGCTGTGGTAGTGGCTGTAGCACCCGTTGCAGTCAGAGTGGCTACAGCAGGTGCAGGTGCAGCAGCATTAGCCTCAGCAGCGCTGATGTGAGCTGTAGAAAGTCGAGGATTGGGGAGATAAAGCTGTGAGGCGTGAGAGGAGGGAGGGGCAGCAGCACCAGCAGCAGCACGAGGAGCAGGAGGTGCACTGAGATGGGTGCTGCTGGTAAAAGGAGCGGTGCTGGTAGAAAACAGAGTGGTGCTGCTGAAAGGAGCGGTGGCAGGAGGCCCAGCAGTAGGGTTAGAGGCACGGGTGGGTTGGGAGGAAGGGAACAGAAACTGGGCCAGGAAAGGGGGCAGCTGGGGGAATTGGCCCCCCATGGGTAGTTGTTGCCCCCCCATGGATGCTTGCTGCGCCCCCATCGGTGATTGTTGGTACTGGCTGTTGTACGTGGGTTGCGGCTGGCTGTTGTACGTGGGCTGCGGCTGGCTGTTGTACGTGTGCTGGGTCACTGTGGCATACTGTGTTCCGAATGGCGTGGACTGCTGCGCCCCGTACTGAATCGTGGTAACCTGGGCAGCGGCAGCAGGGGGGGGCACTGCAGAAACGCCAGTGCCAAAAGCTGCTCCTGCTGCTGCTGGAGGTGCAGGGAAGGCAGCTTGCGTAAAAACGGATTGCGGAAACGCATGCTGGGAAAAGGCAGACTGGGGGAAGGTAGATTGCGTCGGCAAGACTGCTGGCGCTTGAACATTCGTGAAAGCTGCAAGTGCATTCTCTCCTCCACGCCGCTTCTTCTTGCCCCTCTTCTCCCTTTCCCTCTCCTTCTCCTTCTCCCTCTTCTTCCTCTGCTTCCTCTTCTCCTTCTTCCTCCTCTTCCTCTCTTTCCTCTCCTTCCTCTCCTTCCTCCTCTGCCTCCTCCTCACCCTCTCCTCCTCTCTCGTGTACTCACCCCTCCCCGCTTCTCCCTCCGTCTCCCCACCCGTCTCACCCCCCGTCGTCTCTCCTCCCGTCGTCCCCTCTCCGGTTGTTCCCCCTCCCGCCCACCCCCCCTCTTCCTCCTCTTCCTCCTCTTCCGCCTCCTCCGCCTCCTCCGCCTCCGCCTCTTCGTCCTCGTCCTCCTCGTCCTCAACAGCAACAACCTCAGTGTCTATAAGCACATCCCATGCTGCCCGCATGTCGCTCAACCCAACCAGGCCTGAAAACTGCCACCACTGCCAAAACTCCTCTGGTGTTTTGATCTTTCCTGCTGCCATCACTGCCGCTACCGCCGCATCCCTCTCTTTCCTACCTTTCTCTTCCCCTCCTCCCTCTTCCCCATCCATTTCGTCTTCCTTCCCTACCTCTCCCTCACCCCCCTCTTTGTCGCTCCTCTTCCTCTTCCTGCCCCGATCCTTATCCAGACCAGCTTCCGGGCCAGCTGCAACAGGCTCGGGGGAAGCACGGTCAAGCGTTGCCCAAGCTGCCTGGAGGTTAGGAAGAGCGTCCGAGGCTCCGCCGACTCGAATTCCCGCCAGCTCAGCGACAATATCTTGAAGATACGCTGGGATTGGTCCAGGTAGCTTGGCTAAATCTAGCGAGCCAAGAAGAGACGCTGCTACACTCCCCCCTGCCGCCCCTCCTGCCGCCCCTCCTATCGCCCCTCCTGCCTCTCCTCCTGCTCCTTCCATTGCTCCTGCCCCACTACTAAGGCCGAAATCATTACCTCGACCATCATCATCATCGTCATCACCCACATCACCACCATCACCGCCACCCCCACCATCATCATCAGAATCATACCCTCCAGCGCCTCCTGCACCCTCTCCCCCCTCCCTTCGCTCTTCTCGCTCTCCTCCCTCCCCTCGCCCTACCTCTCCTCCCTCCTCTCCCTCCCCTCCCTCCCTTCCCTCCCTTTCGCCCGCCAATTCCATACCCACACCTTCCTCTCCCCCTCCTCCTCCTCCCTCTCCCCCCCTTCCTCCTCCTCCCTCTCCCCCCTCTCCTCCTCCCGCCTGCGTCCTCTTCTTCCTCTTGCTGAAGACCCCCGCCATGATCAGCTCCCGGTACTGCCTCTGCCGCCGCATCTCCACCTCCTCTGCCACCTTCCCAAGGGCCTCCAACTCTTCAGGGATTAAGTTGAAATCCTCGTCAAACAGATCCCAAGGGATGTCAGCAGGCTCTTTCATTGTGCCCCCTGCTGCTGCCCCTGCTGCTGCTGCTGCATCACCAGCAGCGGCGGCACCAGCAGCAGCAGCAGCACCGGACGCAGCCCCTTCTGCAGGTTCTTCCTCTCTTGCTGCTTCTGCATTCCCGTCCCCTGTTGCCCCCTCCCCTGGTGCACCTGCTCCCCCTCCCCCTCCCCCTCCCCCATCTCCCCATGCTCCAGCAACGCCCTCTGCTTCCGCCCCCCCTGCTCCCCCTTCCCCCGCTTCTCCCCCTTCCCCGCCCGCCTTGTCCCCCTGAGCCGCGTTCTGCCGTGCCCACTTCTTCCATCGCACGGACGACTGCACGGCCCAGTGGTCCATGAAGCCCCACTTGCGCATCACGCCCGCCACCCACGAGAAGGTGATATTTCTGCAGTAGGGAGGGGGGGTTGAGCACGTGGGGCGGGGTTAAGAGAGGGGAGGGAGATATGAGGCGCATCAACCACTTCTTCCATCGCACGGACGACTGCACGGCCCAGTGGTCCATGAAGCCCCACTTGCGCATCACGCCCGCCACCCACGAGAAGGTGATATTTCTGCAGTAGGGAGGGGGGGTTGAGCACGTGGGGCGGGGTTAAGAGAGGGGAGGGAGATATGAGGCGCATCAACCACTTGTTCCATCACACGGACGACTGCACGGCCCAGTGGTCCATGAAGCCCCACTTGCGCCGCATGACGCCCACCGCCCATGCGAAGCTGACATTTCTGAGGCAGTACGGGGGGGAGGGAAGGGGTGACACAAAGCACCTTAAAGCCATAACCCTGACTTGTCCCTAAGGCTAATACAAAGCAGTGCTTGAGCCAACCCCGTACTGCTTGCAAGTCGAGTCGACTCGGCGGCAAGGTTTCACACTGACATGGATGGATCCCATCCCACCCCACCCCACCGCATACTGACGGCAGCACGACCGGCTCTGAAGCGCCTCAGAAGTAGGCTTGAGAGACACACGCAGTTGCAAAGACCGCCCCCTTTAACTCCGTACTGCTTGCGAGTCGAGTCGACTCGGCAAGGACGCATGTCTCTCACACAGTGACAACATGGTCCCATCCCATGGTTGAGTAATTAAGTTTCGAGACATCTCAAAACTACATTCCTTAAGGGCGTGTATCAAGTGGATGTCGGGCCGCAAATTAGCTTAGCTGACGCCAGAGGGTTTCCAGGCTTCCCGATTTGCACTGGCGTCGAATTGCGCGTGAACAGAAAGGGCTCCAGTCCCGCCGCTACTTGATACACAGACAACACCAGGAGCGAGGGGCTCTCTTCCGGGCGAAGTGTTTTCTTGCCGCCCAAATTGCCGAGCTGTAAATTTCGGGGGCCTTCCTTGACGTACTGGGTGTCGCAGACGCCCGTGGGTCGGGTTTTGTTTCGCGAATTTGTGATGCGTTGGTCCTTGCCGCCCAAACCTTTGATGCGGTCAAGTGTGCTGAAAATTTTCCTGCACGTCCCACTTGGCGCGCGACGTCAAGCTGGGTCTTGACGCGGCGTCAAGCACAATTTTGAAGTGCACTAGATACACGGCCCTGACAATTCCAAAGCGGGTTACCATGTGGTAACCCAGAATTTAAGCCCGAAAAATCAGCCGACATCATTATCAGGATTACTTAATACACGCCCTAACCACGGGGTCGAGTTGGCAAGGACTCATGTCTCACAGTGACAACATGGTCCCATCCCATGCAGATGGAGCCCACCCCATACTGACGGCAGCATGGCCAGCTGCCCACCCCATACTGACGGCAGCATGGCCAGCTGCCCACCCCATACTGACGGCAGCATGACCAGGCCAACTGCCCACCCCATGATACTGACTTGGATTGCGGGACACACACACCCAGAGACACACACACTTAGACACTGACTTTGATTGCGGGAGGCCGAACAGCGGCGCCACTCTGTTGGCATACTCCACAACCGACTCCGGATGCAGCATGATGTGCCGTGGCAACCCCACCTCCTCCTCCTCCTCCTCTTCCCCCCCTTGCTCCCGCTCCCCTTCCCCTTCCCCTCCCTCCCCCCCCTCTCCTACCCCTCCGCCCAGTGCGTTTATTCTCACTCCGGGGACCACCCCTGCTCCCAGCACCTCCCTCTCTGCCAGTGTGCTCATGTCCACCCCCCCAACGCTCCGCGCCTCCCCCTTGTCTAGATCAGCCAGAGCTCTTTTCACTGCGTCTGCAACGGCTTTCTCTAGCCGCATGTACTTGGAGACCTGGAGGGGGGGGGACCGGGGGAAGATGGGGTCAACAAGGGGGTCTTGATGGGATCGACTCAAAAGTCACCTCAATCTTGAACACGTGGGATTTGGATATGGGTGCACTACAATCTAAACAGGGCATTCCAGCACCCAGCACCCAGCACCCAGCACCCAGCACCCAGCACCCAGCACCCAGCACCCAGCACCCAGCACCCAGCACCCAGCACCCAGCACCCAGCACCCAGCACCCAGCACCCAGCACCCAGCACCCAGCACCCAGCACCCAGCACCCAGCACCCAGCACCCAGCACCCAGCACCCAGCACCCAGCACCCAGCACTCAGCACCCACCTGCGTCATCTTGGGCACCACCGCCCGCCCCTCCCTGAACGCCTCGCGCATCACTTCAGCCTGCCACCGCACCTTGTCCTCCCGTGCCATGTAGTCCGTTATCACCATGCGGCTCGTGTCAACGCCGTACCTACAACGAAGCAGACAATAGGGGAAATATGGGGGGATACTGGAGCCTTAAAGTGGGGGATAAGGAAGATTTTGAGTCGACTCAAAATACACCGTGATAAGGAAGACAGTACCTCGTCCTCCCTCCCGTGCCATGTAGTCCGTTATCACCATGCGACTCTTGTCAATGCCGTACCCAGAGACCGGGCGTGGGAGCAACGAAGGGAGAAAAGAGGGCCTTAAAGGGATGGGCAGCAGTGCCTTGTTCTCCCAGGCCATGTAGTCTGTGATCACCATGCGGCTCGTGTCGATTCCATACCTACAAACGAGACAGTTACTAAGAGGGATAGGGGTGAAAAATGGGAATAAGGGGGGGAGCGCCTTGTTCTCCTGGGCCATGTAGTCTGTGATCACCATGCGGCTCGTGTCGATTCCATACCTACAAACGAGACAGTTACTAAGAGGGATAGGGGTGAAAAATGGGAATAAGGGGGGGAGCACCTTGTCCTCCCGGGCCATGTAGTCCGTGATCACCATGCGGCTCGTGTCGATGCGGTACCTTGAAACGGGGCAGCCAGAAGAGGATAAGGAAAGCAGAGGTACCTCACTTGAACGCCATTCTCTGCTGCTTCACCCTGCCTCCGTTTCAAGACGTGCCTGACTTGAGCGGCCCGTTCAACAGCAATGTGAGGCAGGTCGCGCCGTGCCCTGGCCAGGGAGAGGAGGGCGAGTTTCTACTACATCACAAACACCAGCGGATACTGTTTTTCCTCTGCCTCTCCCTGCCTGCCTCTTCTTCAAGACGTACCTGCCTTGAACGGACTTCCCCATGAACACGTGCTGTGCGTCCGTTTCAACACATACCTGTCTTGAACCGCCCTCTTGACAGCACTGTGTGGCAGGTCGCGTCTGGCCCTGGCGAGAGAGATGAGGGCGAGCTTCCACGTCACAAACACCGGCTGGTACCGCTTGCGCTTCTGCTTCTCCCTGCCACCCTCCTTCCCACTCTCCCTCCCACTCTCCCTCCCACTCTCCCTCCCGCTTTCCCCACCACCCTCCCCACCCCCCTCCCCGCCCCCTGCCCCGCCCCCTCCCCCAGCACCTCCCTCCCCACCTCCCCCCTCCCCCGGCCTCTGCTTCTTCTTCCTCCCCCTCCGATTCACCATCCCCTGTCCCTCCGCCTCTCCACCATTCCCAGCAGCCCCATTCCCAGCAGCAGCACCCCCCACAGGCATGTATCGCCCTGTCGTCGTGTCCCGCACCGACGACTTGTTCCCCCGCCGCCTCTTCCTCGGCCTCCCAGACCCTGCGGGCCGCGGCCACACCTCCTCATCGTCCTCCTCGTCCTCATCTCCCTCCACTACCTCCCCCCTCTGCCTCCTCTGCCTCCTCGCCTCCTTCTCCGCTTTGAACTTCTCGACGACTTTAAGTAGCTTATCAGCTGCCGCATTCCAGATAGCATTTCTCTTTCGGTGCCTCTCGCTCCGCTCTTTCCTTACGAGCCCACCCACCATCGGCCCCATATGCATGCCTACGTCAGTGCCTAAGAACCCCCCGCCTTCCCCCATCCCCTCCCCCTCCCCCTCCCCTTCCCCCTCCACGTCCGTGCCCTCGCCGCCCCCATCCGTGGTGTTGCCCTCTCCACCGTCCGTTGTGATTCCATCTCCACCGTCTGTTGTCCCGCCCCCCTCGCCATACCTTTCACCCTCGCCATTGTCACTCTCCGTACCGTCACTCTCGCCTGCTCCAGACGCATTACCCCCTCTCCCCCTCTCACCACCCCCCCCACCACCATCACCACCCCCATCACCACCACCAGCACCCCCACCACCCCCACCACCCTCACCCTCACCCCCACGGCGCTTTGCCGATAAATCCTGTTTCGTCCGCCACTTCAGCCCGTGCCGCCCCATGAACTTCATAAGCCACGACATATGGAACTTAAAGTTTCTGGGCGCAATCTCCGCAATCCGATAACTCGGAGCCAGCTTCTGCGCATACATGAGCACATCCTCATACAGCAGATTCTCCAGCCCGTACTTGGCCCTCATTTCTCGCACCCACGTCGCGAGCGCCGCCTCAAACTCCGGAAACACCACCTTTTTCGGGCGGAGTTTCCGCGGCTGGGGGGTTAGATCCGCGGTTAGGTAGTTATTGCACTTCCTAAGGATGTACCGGATCGAAGCGAGGTTCAGCGACGCGGCTATCACCGGCCCACAGGCTTCCAGAATCACGTGGATTATCTGCTGGAGGGTTAGCGACGGGCGGGCCTCCTTTAGTAGACAGATGGCCTTTCGCATCTTGAGGGTCCGAATGCACGAGTGGAGCCTCTTGTTCTTCTCCCGAAACTTCCTCTGCTCTTCCAGCAGCCGGTAATACTCCACATACAGGGGGGACGATTTCAGCTCCTCCTTCCTAATCACCCTGCCCGTGATCGGATTCCGGGGTAGAAGCTCAATTTCCCCTGCTTTTGCGAGGTCGGCCTCCGTAACAACCCTCCGAGCCTCCGCTGCAGCTCTGGCTTCAGCCATGGCGAGCTCCACCAGCTTCGGATCGGGCCGGTAATCCTCCGAATCCTCCTCACCCTCGTCTAGTGAGTTTGCAGTATTCGCAGTGCCCACCATGCTGTTTGCAGCGGTAAAGGGGGCGGATTCGTTGAGAGAACTCGCTGCTGCAGCTGAAGCGAGGGGTTGGTTCGAAGAAGGAGCATCACCAGTACCCTCACCAGCACCAGCAGCAGCAGCAGCAGCAGCAGCAGCAGTACCATCGAGCCCATTCTGCCCTCCTCCTGCTGCCATCCCTTCTCCTCCTCCCCCCTGCATGGCACCACCACCAGCATCATCACCTCCCCGCACCACCACCATCTCCCCTCCCTCCAGCTCCTCGAACAAGTCACCTGGAATGACGTCATCATGGCCCCCTTCCCCCACTCTCACCTGTTCACCCCCCTCCTGCCCATGTCCCTGCCCATACCCCTGCACACCCGCCTGCTGCTGCCCATATCCCTGCCCTGTCGCCTGCCCATACGCCTGCCCCTGCCCGGCCACCTGCCCATACCCCTGACCTATCTCCTGTCCGTAACCCTGTCCACCTGCCTGGGCATACCCTCCTTGCTGCACATATCCCTCATCACCCACCTGCTGCCCATACACTCCTCCTCCCACCTGTACCCCTCCCCCATACCCACCCATCTGCTGCTGCTGCTGCTGCCCACCCACTCCTCCCAACACCCCCTCAAACTCCGCCCCTTCCCCCAAAGCCCCCGCCCCCCCCACCCCCACTTCCCCCCCCCCATCGCCTCTCCCCACTCCCCTCCCCCGGCCTCTCCCCCTCCCCCTCCCCGTCCCCGTCCCAGGGCTCCTCCCCAGTACGTTTTCTGCCCACCAGTCCCTGGGCCTCCTACCCCGGTGCTTGGACCTCGGTTTGAACAGCTCCTGCCCGAACATCTGATCCGCTAGCTCGATAAGGGACGGCCCTGCAGAGTCATCCTCGTTAGGGTAGTCCTCACAAGCTGCGTCTATAGCCTCTTGGGAAAACCCTAGGTGCGACAGCACGCGGTAAACCCACGCCCGGGTGTACTTGAAAGTAGGGGGAAACCCGAATGAATCCCCTAGCTCCTTAGCCTTCTCAATCACTGTCTCGCTCGGCACCACCCCGAGCCTCTGCTGCTCCTCCCCGAACCACCGCGCCAAGGCCCCCTCCATACCGGACTGGTCCGGCGGCTGGGAGGTTCGGCTGTTCACGCGACCTCCCATCATCCCCACCCACTTATTCGGCTTCTGGAGAATATCTGCCACCCGGGTGGCATAAATCCGAATCCCTGGGTACTTCGTCTTGAGCACTTGTACAATCTTCTCGATAGTAATCCCTGGCCGGTCGCGCCTTAGCTCGCACATCTCCGCCTTTAGAGTGACTGGGATGAAATGGCGCCGTTTCCTTTCAGGGTCCCGCAACCGCACCGGCCGCCACTCCCCCCCCACGTCCGTATCCGACCCGTCTGTGGCAGCTGCCGCTGCCGCCGCCGCTGCTGCTGCTGCTATTGCTTCTGCTGCCGCCGCTGACCCTGGAGTAACCACACCTGCTCCTCCTCCTGCTGCTGCAGCAGCCAGCATCCCTCCTCCTTCCCCTCCTTCCCCTCCTTCCCCTCCTTCCCCTCCTTCACCCCCGGCCCCTCCTTCTCCTTCTCCTCCTCCTTCTGGCAATCCTTCAGCTCCATACTCTGCTCCCTCCACCACGCCACCCATCACCATCTCACCATCAGCAAAGCCTGCAGCATCAAGATCGAATCCCCCTTCAGCCTGCTCTCCCGCCACGGTGCCCACATCTCCTTCCATTGCCACTCCCCCCTCTTCCCCAACCCCAGCACCAGCACCAACCCCAGCAGCGCCAGCTGCTCTAGCAGCAGCAGCCCGCGCTGCTGCCAGCCCTGCCGCATACCCAGCAGCATAGATCGCCGACATGCCATCATCCTCCCCCGATTGCCCCCCTACCGCCTCCTGTCCTCCCGTCGCTCCCAGGGGAACATGGAGCCCAGATTCTCCCCCCATTACTGCCTGTACTGGGTCCGGAATTCCCCCCTGCTCTGCCGTTCCCCCCACCTGCCTCTCTCCTCCTGCCGCCCCTCCCATTGCCTCTGCTGCTGCTCCTTGCCCCGCCCCTGCTGCTGCTTCCTGTCCCGCCCCTACTGCCCCTCTCCTCCCTTGGCGGGACCCTTTCCCCCTCCCCTGCCCCCTTGCCCCTCCCCCCGCGCGTCTCCCCCGCGCCTGCGCCCCTCTTCCAGCCCCAGCCGCAACGTCTGTAGCAGCAACAGCTGCTGTAGCAGCGACAGTAGCAGTAGCAGGAACAATACTCGCAGGAGCAGTAATTGCAGCAACTGTGGCAGCAGCAGCAGTAGCCGTGGCCGCAGTGGCGCCAAGACCCTGACGTTGCTGCTGAGCATACTCATGCCCCTGCGTCTCATTGTAACCCCGCCCTTGATCATACGCCTGCCCTTGTTGGTACGTCTGCCCGAGCTGATGACCCTGCCCGTCTCCATAAGCCTGCCCGCGATCGTTCACCTGCCCGTGCGCATGCGCATATCTCTGACCGCGTCCACGCCTCTGCCCGTGTTCCTGCCCGTGTTCCTGAACGTAAGTCTGCCCGTGCTGTGCTGCGTCCACATACACTGCATCTGGCTCATCCTGCGCCTGATCCCCTGCCATGACACCCAAATCATACCGGCGTCGGTCGAGCCGCTGAGCACGCTGGAACATGAGATCAGCAGCAGGAGCTGTAACGGCTGCTGTAGCAGCTGGTGTAGTAGCCACTGCAGGTGCAGCAGTAGCAGCAGCAGCCTCATATGCATAGTCCCCGACACCAGCGTCGCCCACTGCTCCTCCCTGGTCGTAACCCGTAACATCCGTTCTCGTTCCTGACGCCTGGTGGTAACCCTGCACGGCTGGTGTTACAGCGTCGTTGTAACCAGCGTTACCAGTTCCTTGGCCGTAACTCTCAACGCCAGTGTGAGAGGTTACTGCCGCGACGGTTCGATTCCACTCCTGGGTATGCGCTTGTTCCTGAATCGCAACATTCGCGCTCACTCCCTGTCCCTCTAGAGCATCCAGCCACCACTCTCGCTGCGTCTGTCGCACAGGCTGTTCTTGTCCCTGCTCCTGTCGCTGCTCCTGTCGCTGTTCCTGTCGCTGTGCCTGTCGCTGAACCTGCCTCTGCGACTGTACCTCCGCCTGCGCGTGTCGCACTGCTTGCGTTTGTCGCTCAGGCTGCTGCACTTGTCGCACGGGCAGCACTCGGCCTTCAACTTGCACCTGTCGTTCAGCGTGTACTCGCTGCCGTTCGGCCTGCACTTGTCGCACAGCCTGCGTTTGTCGCACGGAAGTCGCTTGTTGTCGCACGGCCTGCGACTGTCGCACGGGCTCCACCTGCCTTGACTGGTACTGAGTGCGTGAGGCTTCATTCCCACCCAACACCCCCGGAGCGTTGTAATCAATAACAGCTGCTGCAGTCGAAGCAGTGGCAGAGGTGTAGTAGTTAGTCGCCGCACCAGTAACAGCCGCAGCGGAAGAACCACCTAAGCCTGCAGCGTTGTACCACGTGGCAGCTTGATTCGCGGCGGTCTGATTCTGTGCCACGTGTCCGCCATGCGCAGCCTGACTACTTTCATAAAATCCGGATGAAGCCGGCTGTTCGGAGCCTGTGACCGGTAGGCGCGTGCCGGCCGTTTGAGCTGCGGCCGTCCCGGCGTGAGCAGCCGTCCAGGCGTTCAGAATCGCCTGCTGCTGGACATACGCGTTCTGAGACGGGGAGAGCTGATAAGCGCTTTGAGCCGGCTGCTGATAAGCGGTTTGTGACGGCTGCTGATAAGACGCTTGAGCCGGCTGCTGATAAGCGGTTTGAGCCGGCTGTTGAAACGCGCCGGAATAGGTGGATTGAACGGTGGGAACTGACGATCCGAAGAAATGAAAAGTGTTTTGGTTCTGCTGCGCCATGGCTTGAAGCTTGAAAGAAATACCTACTTTGCTGCTAAATCAGGTATTAGTATAACGAGGAAAATAAGCACATGTGACAAAGTCTGAGCTACACCATGTTTGAACCAGAGTCCAGGAACGGGTGCTAAGGATAACACACAGCAGAGAAGTATTCCGTGTTTCATCAGGACTCTTCGAGTTTGACAGGCAAGGTTCAATTTGTGAGCATCTCAGGAAACGATGAGCTCTGACGAGCCGACAACAGACCGAACAGTCGAGTTCTGACGAGCTGCACTGCAGCACCAAAAACTAATTCTACAGTAATATTGTACACCTAGCCCGCGGTAATTTCACCCCCTGAAACTGAGCGGCAAAAACTTTTGTTTCCACCCTGACCATTTCTGAGTGCGTAGACAGTACCCCCTTGTTCCTACGGCCTAAGCTTGGCAGACTACACGCGGGGAAAAACTTTGAGCACTGCCGAAGTTGACGTCGGGTTTCCTGACTCGAGAAACACTAAATCGAGCAGTAAACGTTCTGTATAGAAACCCAAGTTCTGGTTGCTTTTCAAGAGTATCCGAATCTGGTCTTCAGTAGCTGCTTTCGGGGGGTGAATACCCTCTCTGTGGCACCCCCTGTGAAAATACTGGATGTGTAAATACCGCAGGCTAAGTGTATAGACATCGTGCTTCACGTAGCCAGCTCTGCATGGACGCAGGAAATCTTGCGGTTCACCGCAATTTAGGCGACGCCTTATCGGACGGTTTACGGGACACCAAAGACAAAAATGTGAGGACGTTCGCGTATAAATGTAACTTTCTCGCAAATACTCGTTGAAAATATCGTCTTTCGCGAAGATCGATTGGATACCAGCAGGGAACCCGTTTGCGATGGGAGGTGGATTTCGTGGGCCTTGTTCATCTGCCTCAGAAACCGTACCCCGATGTAGGCTTGCGGTTCTGCGCACTTGGAGACGATCCGCCCTTCTCTTATCGGACGGTTGACGAGAGTCATCTGGTGCATTGCAGACTCCCACCTGGCGTAACCCTTCTCGCTCACTTTCGCCCCGCACAGACTTGCAATTGGCGAGGTCCAACTTCGATATTGGTGGGGAACCCGTTTTGAGATTGAAACCCTAGCTTCCGATTCTTTCCACCAATCGGCTTCCTCCGTTCCCAACGAAACCCTCGTTCTGCTGCATCCTCGTTTTGCCAACTTCCATTTCCCACCTCCCGTTTTCCCATCACCTTTCCTTTCTGTTTCTTCCATCCACCTTATCTTCAACAGCTAGCCCAGAGAAGAGACACCTCACCATAGCGGAGCACCAGGTTGAGCTCTTGACGCGGTAAGAGAAACAACCATTTCACAGATCCTTGGTTCTCTCAGCATCTTGAGCAGATGGTGTTTCTCGAATCTCGAGCAACAGTAGCACGTCATTAGTGAGTCTGTTCTTAGAGGTGTCTATTCCCCCAATCTCCTTGCAATATCGAAGCCTCCGATTTGCGGTCCGACTTCTAGAATTCACTCTCCGTCCCTGGCCGTCAGTTCTAGTAGGACTAACGAGGACAGAGCGCGACCTCGTCTGGTCTCCTCTTTCGTAGTGTCGTACTTCCTAAACATTTTCAGTTACGGCCTATTTTCTCTTTTCTTCTTTTTTTCGTTTCGTCCATTAACTTTAGGCCATGGCGCAGCAGCAAGGCGTCGACGAGTTGACCCTGATGCAGCAAACGCCAGGCGGAATGGTCTTGGCTCCAGCTCCTGCAATGGACCCTTACGGTTCGCATCATCAGCATCAGCAACAGCATCAGCACCAGCTCCAGCTTCACCATCATCACCACGCGCACCCCGGATTGGTCCCGCAATCTCTCGACGAATCAACGGTCATGATTCCTGCTGAGGCCGACGCGGTCGCAGCCATGCTCGGAAATGCCGGCGGCGAGGTGATTCTAACGAGCGGAGGCCTAGCCAGCGCGGCTCACGGTCATCCTGGAGCGATTGTGACTACACAGGGGGTTATGGCTGCCGGCGGCATTCCGCATGGTCAAGTCGTGATGACCGCGGATGGGAGGATGATGACCGTTGACGGGTCGGTTCTGACCAATCAGGGAGTACTAGTCGCTGCTGCGTCCGCACTTGAGCACGCCTCGATTCAAGAACACGCCGCGGCGATGCACCACGCCTCGATGCAAGAACACGCCGTCGCGATGCACCACGCCGCGATACAAGAACAAGCTGCTGCTGCTGCGGCGGCGGCGGCGGCAGCAGCGTTGCGGCAGCACCACCCGGTTCCGGAACGGCCTTCGCCGATGCCGCACTATGCGGAGGAAGACGAACAGCACGTGTCGATGCAGCACGTACATCACCACCAGCACCAGCACCAGCACCAGCACCAGCACCAGCACCAGCACCATGCGTCGATGGCGGAACACGAGTCCGTGCAGCAACATCAAGACCAGCAGCATCAACAATTACAGCATCAGCATCTAGCCCACGAGAGTATGCAGCAGCACCAGCAGCACCAGCAGCAGCATGAAGGCCACGCGTCAATGCAGGAACATCAACCCACCCATCACGGCGGACATCACGGCGGATACCACGGCAGAGATCGCGCCGCACATCACGCCGCACATCACGGCGGAAATCACGAGGAGCTCGCTATGGTTGCGGCCCACGGAGACCCCATGGCGCCGACCCAAGGCGACTTAAGCGGAGGCGAGTCGGAGGGCGAGGAGGAAACGGTGATGCTCCGCGGGCGCAGCAAGAACCGGCAGGCCGTGGAGCTCATAATCAAACAGGAGATCTGCGCGCTCAAGAACGCGCGCCCCAAGATCACCGCGGCGGGGATCTGCCAGGTATTACGCGCGAAATACGGTAACTCTACCGTGCGAGAGTCGCAGATCCCGCGGATCCTGCGAGACGAACACAAGTGGGGGCGCGCGCCCGCGAACTTCAAGCGCGTGAGGCAGCCGCACAACGTGCGGCTGGAGGAGGCGCTGGCGGTGTGGGTGCGCGATATGAAGGCGCGCGGCGATTTCCGAGTCACGTGCGATCGGATCTTGGAGCACGCGAAGGACATTGGGCCGTCGCTGGGCGTCCCTGCGTCCTTCAGGTGCGTTGTCTTTTGTTTTAGGCGCCTCAAGAGTTGAGAGGCAGTTTTCGAGTCACATGCGATCGGATCTCGGAGCATGCGAGGAACATTGGGCCATCCTTCGGCGTTCCTGCTTCCTTCAGGCGCGTTGGGCCTTTCCCGGATCTGGATTTTTTTTTATTTGTGCGGGATCTAATGTTGGTTATAGGAGGAAAGGTCAGTGTCCCTTTCTCGGCGACTCTTTCTCTTCCCGCTTTCCTCATCTTCTGCGCAACTGTTTCCAGTGTGCATCTTTTACCCCCACTGTTGCTCCCTAGTCCCTTCGTTTCTGGGTCAAACGATGTCTACAGCTTTCTGAGACCAGATGTTCTCATTTCGTACAACCTGTCTCGTGTCGTCCCACAACTTGCAGGTATAGCCGCGGATGGATTTCTCGCTTCCTGCGGCGATGGGGACTCACGCGCAAGGCTGTGGAGGCAGCAAGGGAGGCCAACTTCAACCCCCTAGACCCTTCCTCGGGCCCCTCTCACGGCGGTGGGGGAGGCACCGACAGCGCCTCACACATCATCGACAGCCGAAGTTTATTAGAGCTGGCAGACGAACAGCTGAATCTCGAGGAAGCTGCCAGGCGCGCATCTGAGCCGTCGGATCTCCTCGCTGAGCTGGCAGATGAGGATATCCTGGCCGCTGCTGCCAGCATCCCTGCTGTGGGGAGTAGTGTTGTGGCGGCCGTGGCCGGATCCAGGGGCGCGCAATATGCGCCTGGTGCTGCTGGCATGGGGGGGATGAGCGGTGGGGAGATGGTTGGAGAGGGGCAGCTGCAGGCGGTGGCAGAGGAGGTGCTTCTGGGGCTGGATGGATCTGTAGCACGGGCGTCGGTTCCTTCTGCTGCTGCTGCTGCTGCTGGCGCCGCTGCTGGTACCGCGCCTGGTGCAGGTGCCTATGCGCCTGGTTCGCATATGCTCGTGCCTTTTGGAGCCACGTTCACCTCTTCTCAAGGCGCACTCGGGTCCTCTCAAGGCCCGTTCGCCCACGGTCAGTTGTCGTCTTCTGCTCCCGGCCACCCGCCGTCCGCGCCTGCCCCGCCCCCCCAGCGCCGGCGCAACATCACAGTGAAGCTGAAGCGCGCCATCTGCGTGCTGAAGCGCGCCAAGCCACGCCTGCGCGCGTCCGCCATCATAGACGCCGTGCGCGCAAGCACAGGCATTTCTCTAGGCACCCACCAGGTGTCGCGGATCCTCCAAGACAGTGACAGGTGGATGCGCGCCCAGACGAACGCCAACGCGGTTAAGAGAGTGAGGGACCCTGAGAATGCTGCGCTTGAGGAGGCGCTGGCGGACTGGGTGAAAGAGATGCGGGCGAAGCATGGCGAGGCGATGGTTACCAGGGACGATATGATCGACCATGCGAAGCGGATCGGGCCCGGGCTAGGGGTTCAGCCGGGGTTTAAGTACAGCAGGGGGTGGCTGTCGCGGTTTTTGTGGCGGTGGGGGTTGCAGACGAGGGAGGAGAGTGAGGCGACGAGGAGGGAGGGGGGAGAAGGTGGTGAGGGGTCGTCTGGAGCTGCTGCTGCTGGGGCTGCTGGGCGTTCTCTGGCTCTAGTGCCTGCTGGTGCTGAAGGGGAGGCTGACGTAGGCTCCACTGGTGCTGCTGCTGCTGGGGCTAGTGCTGCCGCTGCTGCTGGTGCTGTTGGTGCAGGCAGTGATGTTGGCAGTGACTTGGTTATATCCTCTCACGACTTTGTTATTACCGGGACTGACAGTGACGAGGATAATTTCCTCCGTCTGGTAGAGGAGCAGCTGGCTGAGGCAGAGAAGGCAGGCGGCGTCAGGGGAGCAATCGCTTGGGGGGGTGAGGGAGGTGAAGGAGGGGAAGGAGGAGAGGGAGGAGCAGGGGGGTCTTCCGAGGGGGAGGATACTGGGGACGAGACAGACATAGGCGAAGGTGGGGGAGAGGGAGAGAGGAGGCGGCGGTACGGGGGGGTGTTTGGCGGGATGGGGAGCGGTGAGGGAGCAGGAGATGCACTGGATGTGGACACAGATGGGATCAGGCGAAGGCGGATGGTGCAGGTGAAGGTAAAACGGGCAGTGTGCGCCTTGAAGCGAGCACGGCCGGACCTCTCAAGCCGTGAGATCATCGACGCGGTGCGGGTTAAATACGGGGTGGATCTCCCCCCGTCTGCTGTGCCGCGGATTCTGAAGTACGACGAGCGGTGGCAGCAGGCGGGCGCGGCCGCGTCGTGCCGCGTGCGCTCGTGTATGAACTCGAAGCTGGAGGAGGTTCTGGCCTCTGCTGTGCGGAGGGCGCTGGCCCGTGCTGCTGGTGAGGCTGGGGAGGGTGCGAGGGGGGGTGAGGGTGGGGAGGGTGTGCGGGGTGGTGAGGGTGGTGAGGGTGGTGAGGGTGTGAGGGCGGTGGGAGGGGAAGGTGGGGAGGAGGGAGTGGATGGTGCTGCTGGTGGAGGTGAAGGAGGAGGAGGAGGTGGGGGAGGGGAGGGAGGGGGAGAAGCGGGAGAAGGAAGGGGAGAAGGAGATGGAGGAGGAGAAGGAGGAGGAGGACGCGGAGAAGGAGAGGAAGGAGCAGTAGTTGCAGCCGCAGCAGCAGCAGCAGCAGCGCCAGCAGTGGCAAGGACGGTGACAGTGCAGTCGATCTTAGACCATGCCAGGCGCATAGGCCCGCTGCTGGGAGTGGCGCCGGGGTTCCGATACAGCAAGGGGTGGGTCTGCCGCTTCCTTCAGCGCTGGGGCTTCGGCAGCAAGCACCTCAAGAGCGGGGTGCTGGGGGTGGTGGCTTCTGGGGCCGGTGCTACTGTGGGTGGTGAAGCGGGGGGAGAGGAAGGGGAGGCGGGGGAGGATGAGGAGGGGAGGGAGGAGAGAGAGGAGCGGGAGTTGCAGGAGCTGTTGAGTATTGTGGACGCTCAAGCGGCTGAGCAGGCGCGTATGGAGGCGATGTATGGTTGGGGGTACGGGGGAGGGGGATATGGTGGAGGGGGATATGGGGGAGGAGGGTATGGAGGGGGTTATGGGGGAGGGGGATATGGGGGAGGGGAGACAGGCCCGACAGGTACACCTGGGCAGGTGCCATTTGCGGTGGGTGTCCCTGCTGCTAGGCTTGGAATCATCCGCACGCCCGAGGCTGCAGCTGCGGCTGCTGCAGCTGAGGCTGCGGCTTGGGAATACGCTTCGGGAGGGGGCCCTGGGCATTCGAGGAAGAGGAAGAGCAGGGGGTTTGGGATTGGGCCTGGTGACGTGGCGCTGCACAATAGGTCGAGATCGCACTTCTGGGATTTGATGGTGACGGAAATGGCAGGGAAGCAAGAGGGCGGGGTGAAGGCAGAGGAGGGTATGGAGGGGGGAGGGCATGTGGGTGTGGTGGATAGGGTGGTTGGGATGGAGGGAGCGGAGGGTGAAGAGAAGTATGGCGAGGAAGGCAGAGCTGCTGCTGGGGCAGAGGGTGCTGCTGCTGCTGCTTCTGGTGATGCTCCTGGTAGTGGTGCTGCTGGTGCTGCTGCTGCTGCTGGGGAGACGCGTTCCGTTGCTGCTGGTGATGGTCCGGCTAATGTGGTCATCGCTGCTGGTAATGACGTGAAGGATGTGGCACAGGCAGAAGGTGCTGATGGAATGGCACAGGCGGGGATGGACGGAGTGGAGGAGCAGCAGGGTGCTGCTGCTGCTGGGGAGACGGGTGCTGCTCTTGCTGCTGCTGGGGAGTCGGGTGCTGCTCCTGCTGCTGCTGGGGAGACAGGTGCAGCTGCTGCTGCAGCTGCAGATGCCACTGCTGGTACTGGTGATGTGAAGGTTGATGTGGGGGGTGGGACTGTGGCAGGTGAGCGGGCGGAAGCAGAGAAGCAAGCAGAGGGCAACGAGAAAGGCAGGGATGGAGAGGTGAGCATTGCTGACAAGGGAGGAGCTGGTTCTGCAGTCGAAGCGCCTTCTTTTGCAGGGGATGCTGCTGCTGTGGCTGCGGCTGATGGTGCTGCTGCTCCTGACAATCATGCTGCTGGTGGTGGTCAAGATGCCAAGGCTGCCGAAGCAGCAGCAGTAGATGCGTCACAGATAAAACCAGAGCAAACGCCTGTCCCAGCTGCTACAACAGCAGCACCGGCTACTACAACAGCAGCACCGGCTGCCCGTCAATTGGCTCCAGCCCAAACCCCTCCCGTTGCTCCTGCGCAAGCAACACCGCATGCACCTGCAGGACTAGAAGAGAAACCTGCAGCCGTAGCACAACCAGCAGGAACAACAGGACCAGCGGTAACGCCTGTAACTCCTGCAACCCCTGTAACACCAGCGTCAGCTCCCATAACGCCTGTAACACCAGCAGTCACGCCTGTAACACCAGGCATGCCAGCCCCTGCTACAGGTCCGGAAGGCTTTGGCTGGCAAGCCGGTTACAACTACCCTGGTTACGGCCAGGGGTACAGTTACAGCTCTGGATATGGCACCAGGGGAAGGAGAGGACGGGGAGGCGCTAGGGGGAGGGGGCGGGGAGGGAGGGGCAGGCGTGGGGGAGGCACGAGTGCTGCTGGTGGCGGCATTGGGGGTATTGGGGGAAGCAGGATGATGGGGCTTGCTGCGTCTGCTGGGTTGATTCCAAGCTGGGCTGCTAAAGCAGTGGCGGCTGTTGAATCCCCTTTTGCCCCGCCTCCCCCTCCTGCTCCTCCTTCCCCTCCCCCCCCTCCTCCTCCTCCTCCTCCTCCCCTTGCCCCTGCCCCTACCCCTGCCCCTGCCCCTGCCGCTGCCCCTGAAGCAGCAACAGCAGCAGCCTCAGAGTGTGCTCCTGCCCCTGCAGCACCTGCTGCTGTCGGAGTGAATGTTACTGAGGGTGATGCAGCTGCTGCTGATGGTTCCGGGGCAGTGGTGGCTCCAGCTTATGACGGGGAGGCTGGTGCACATGCTGTTGCTGCTGCTGCTGCTGCTGCTGCTGCTGACGATGCTGACGTTACTTCTGGTGCTGATGCCTCGGTCCCTCTAAGTGCAGGTGTTCCTGAGACATCTACAGATCCTATGGATATGGATGTTATTCTTCCACAGACAACTGCAGCTCCTACGGCTGCTGATGTTGATGTTGCTGTGGATGGTGGGGCTGCTCCAGTTACTGTGGACAATCCTGCTGCTGCAGCTGCTCCAGCACCGGTTTCTGCTGCTGCTTCCGATGTTGCTGCTGGTGCTATTGAAGTGCCTGCTGCTGACAATGTTCAAGCTTCTGCCTCTGCTGCTGGTGACGACCCTACATCTGCCAGCCTTACTACAGCCACTCCTGTTGTTGCCGCAGATACTGTAACTGCAGCTGATGCTGGTCCTGATGCAACTACAGCTGATATGTCTGTGACAGCTGCTGCAGCGACAGTTGATGCTACTCCAGCAGATTCTATGGCTGCTCATGCCGATGTTATGGCTACCGATGCTTTGGAGACACGCACTATAGCAACGGATGTAACAGCTACAGATGCTGTGGCTACAGATTTTATGGCCACATATGTCTCAGCTACATACTCTTCGGATGCAGGCACGGCAGCTGACCCATCCGCCCCTTCTGGGGTTGGTGGAGCGGCAGAAGCTGCAGCCACTGAGGCAGGCGTAATGGGGGATGGCACAAGTGGTGGAGTGGCAAGAGGTGGTGAAGGTTCTGGCAATGCTGGTGGCGGTGCTGCTGGTGCTGCTGACCCTATGGAGATCGAAGCCGGTGTGGCCAATGGCGAACCTCTTGACACCGTTGTCCCAGCTGCGCCGAGTCACCAGGAAACGGCAGCAGGTGGTGAAGCTGCACCCGGTGAAGCCGCACCCGGTGAAGCTGCACCCGGTGAAGCTGCACCCGGTGAAGCCGCACCCGGTGAAGCTGCACCCGGTGAAGCTGCACCCAGTGAAACTGCACCCAGTGACGCTGCACCCGGTGAAGCTGCACCCAGTGAAACTGCACCCAGTGACGCTGCACCCAGTGAAGCTGCACCCGGTGAAGCTGCACCCAGTGAAGCTGCACCCAGTGACGCTGCACCCGGTGAAGCTGCACCCAGTGAAGCTGCACCCAGTGAAACTGCACCCAGTGACGCTGCACCCGGTGAAGCTGCACCCGGTGAAGCTGCACCCGGTGTTTCTCCCCCTCCTGTGCTGGTTGGTGAAAATGCTTCTACGGAAAGTGTGCCGGCAGCCATCCTTCCTGCTACACCCAATGCTGCTGATGCTGAAGCCGGCATGCCGACTAATGTGGCTGATGCTGGTGCTGATACTGCTATGGGTGAAACCGCAGCTGAAGCTGGAACTGCAGTTGCACATGGTACTAGTGGTGAGGCCCTGGTGATCGCACCTGCTGCCACGCACGCTCTCCCGCATCCCCTCCCAGGTGCTCCCCCTCTCTTCACTTCGTCCCTCCCCATTCCTGCTCCCCTGGGCTCAGGCCTCACCCACGCGCCACTGCATTCCTCCTCTGAGGTCTCTGCCTTCTCGCCTGCCCTGGGACAAAGCCGAGTGCTGCCCGTTGCTGCCCCTGCTGCTGCTGCTACCGCTGCTTCTGCTGTTGATGATGCTGCCAGAACTGCTGCTGCTGTTGCTGATGCTCCTGCTTTTGATGGTAGCACTGCTGCTGTTGCTGCTGATGACCTGTCTTGTGCTGCTTCTGGGTCTGCTAGTTTTGCTACAGCTGTTGATGCTGCTACAGCTGTTGACGCTGCTACACCTGTTGATGCTGCAACTGCTGGTGCTGCAGTGGGTGAAACCAATGGGGATGCTGATAGGCAACAGCAAGAGCTCAGTGCTGCGCCTGAAGAACCCTCTGCTGCTGCTCCTCCTGCTGCTGCTGCTGCTGCTGCTGCTCCTCCTGCTGCTGCTGCTGCTGCTGCTGCACCGTCTGCTGACGAGTGTGAAAATCCCTATGCATTTGCTGCGCCTCAAGAGTCTGCTGCAGAGGATATCAGTGTTCCACAAGTGGCACAACTGCCTGCAGAGCAACTCACCCATGCTGCTGCTGCTGCTCCACCTGCTGCTGGTGTTGCTGATCCCAACGACCCCTATGCTTTTGCGAAGCCTCAAGAAGAGCCTGCAGCACCACATGCCAATAGCACGCCAGAGCCACCACCGCCTGCTGCCGGCCCTGAAGACGCAGACCCGTATGCTCTTGTCTAGGGGGGCACGGTGTTTGCATCCTAGCATGATCCCCTTAGTTCCCTATTTCTCCTCACCCTTTCTTGCCCATCCCCCTTACTATGAACCCCACGCTTTTCCTGTTCCGCGGGCTTGTCTTACATACTCGCTTCCATGAACTTTCTGGCGGTGCGGAATAGAACGTTCGTATGCAGCCAGTTGTGTATTTGCACCTGAGCTTCAATTTCACATCCTTTCATGTTACTCGACAAGCAGAAAGGGATGACAGAAACTGAAAGGATTCTGGCCTGCTCTGATACCACCGTGTTTGGGAACCCAGTCTGTCAACACTCTGAAAGTTCATACAGTAATCGTCATTTACCCGCCCCAAAACTGAGACAATCCCATAGCCCCACTCAGACCCCAAGGCATCGCTCTACTCCGAAGGCCCTCCCCCCCCCCCCCGAAGCCACCCTTTCCGCCCGTCGAATCTCCCTCAGAAAGCTCGGCCGGCAGCGGTCCGCCGGGTCGCTAGGCCACCCATCCAGCCCTCCATGGCCATGAGCCCTGTGGACGATACGCCTCACACATCAAAACTGGTAGATGAACCCAAAGCCCCGCTCGACCCCATCATCCCACTCGACCCCATTGCACCGCTCGACTCCACCGAAGGCCCTCCTTCCGCCCCAGAAGCCACCTCCTCCGCCCGCCGAATCTCCCTGGAGAAGCTCGGCCCGCGGCGGTCCGCCAGGTCGCTGTCGATGCGCACCACCAAAGGGTCGGGGTCCGGGCCAAGATACTCCTCCCTCATGGCCATGAGCTCAGAGAGAATGCGTGCCATGGAGGGGCGACCCGCCACGGGCGTGGCGGTGCAGGAGAGGGCGAAGCGGGTGAGGCGGAGGATGGCATCGCTCGGGGCGTCGAGACGCGGGTCCTTGATGGCCTGCGCGTTGTTTTCGGCCACCAGTGGTTGGACCTGGGAGGGAGAAGATGCAAATGAATTAGCATGACTCTGCCGACTGACCTCTGTCGATCCACCAATGCACCTATCAGTGGACCCATCCATCCATCCGTCCGTCTGTCCGTCCGTCCGTCCGTCCGTCCGTCCGTCCGTCCTTCCGTTCGTCAGTCCGTCCGTCCGTTCATCCATCCATCCATCCATCCATCCATTCATCCATCCATCCGTTCACCCCTCCATCCATCCCTCCATCCATCCATCCATCCATCCATCCATCCATCCATCCATCCATCCATCCATCCATCCATCCATCCATCCATCCATCCATCCATCCATCCATCCATCCATCCATCCATCCATCCATCCATCCATCCATCCATCCATCCATCCATCCATCCATCCATCCATCCATCCATCCATCCATCCATCCATCCATCCATCCATCCATCCACCCACCTAGTCACATGTGCACTCACCCATTGCTTGAGGTTGATCTGGCCTTCGTCCAAGCACTCCAGAGCTTTGCGAGCAGTGATGACTGTCAGCATCACCACTCCAAAGCTGCAGGGGAGAGAGATGCGGGCACATACGCGGTTGTTGGCTTTAAATCAACTCAGCAGCAGCTAATCAACGCCTGTCAGCATCACCACTCCGAAGCTGCATACGGAGACGGCATGACGAAGGCGTGCATGGGGGCTGCAATGCAAGTTTGCATTAAACATCGTATTCCAAAAAGTTGATAACGGGTTCAAGAATGACATAAGTGCCTCTCGTTCTGTGCTATGAGGAGCCCTGTGACGAGTGCTTTCTTGTAAACAATTAAAGATGCTATGCCCGCACCGTTCCACACCTGTGCACATCCGCCATGGGGGTGGCCTTCTGCGACTTGAAGTAGGCAGGATCCACATAGCCCGGTGTTCCCATCACTCGCGTTGCGACTACCGAAGTCCCCTCTCCCAACCGCACCAGACCGAAATCAGCCACCTTAGCCTGCACGACAAACGTGTGAGTCACTCAAGTAAGCAAAAGGCAGGGACTTAGAAGGGAAGGCTAATGGAAAAGGTGATCCGCATTGCCAGTGAAAATGAGGGACGTCATGGGGAAGATGAATAATGATCCAAGGCCTTGGAAGTATATAAATAATGAAGTACATGTAGGCACAATCTCACCAGTTAGAATCAATCGACCAATCTCTGACACCCCGTCTCCCCTCCCTCCCTTGCTTGAAATGAATGTGTCTACCTGCATCGTCTAATGTCACAATCCATCTTCTAATTTCCTCGCGTACCTGCATCGATAGCCTGCATAGTCTGCTTGCATAGCCTACCTGCATCTCCTACCCGCTTCTCGTACCCGCATCATTGACTTGCATTGCCTACCTGCATATTTTTGTCGAGCAGGATGTTGGCTGGCTTGATGTCGCGATGCACGATGTGGAAGCTGTGGAGGTTCTGCAGGCCTTGAGCCACCCCTATGAGCACGTCAAAGCGCTGCCGCAGGCTCAGAGACACAGGCACACCTGGCGGTTGTAGTGGTGGGGACAGAGCAAGTATTTGGAGTCACAAGCCAAAAAACTCTTTAACTTCTACCTCGTCTAGTTGCGTGAAGCATGGACCCACAATATGCATAATGGAGGAATTTCTTTGCGTGCATTCAGCGACATGTACTCGGTACAAACAATTTCAACCTGTGAATCAGTGCTCCTCTCTAGGCCTAATTCTCCAAAAGCTCACAGCTAAAGTTGCCACATAGAGGCACTGATCCTTTACAATCCTCAAGTGCACCACCCATCTTGCATTCTGACCACAAACTTGCCCTTGCACACCCACCTGGTCCGATCCACCTCTCGAGGTCCGAGTTCTCAGAGAACTCATGCATGAAAATCTGCGCTCTGAGCTCCACAGCATGCAGCAAGAGGGTCATCCCCACCCTAAGGAAGCACCCACCTGGTCCGATCCACCGCTCGAGGCCGCCGTTCTCCATGAACTCGAAGATCACAATGTGCTCTGCATCCGAAGCACTAGCCCAGCAGGCACAGCGTAACACCAGAGGCCCACAACCCACCATCCGAAGGCACCCACCTGGGCCGATCCACCTCTCGAGGTCGCCATTCTCCATGAACTCGTAGATCACAATCTGCTCTGTCCGCTCTGCCACTGGGTCCACGTCGATGCAGTAACCCAGCAGGCGCACGAGATTGGGGTGGTGCTTCGTGGCCATCTCGTTCACCTGGTGGGGGGGCAGGAGCGAGGTGATTATCGGGTAAGGAGGGGATAGAGTGTGATGAGTGCGCTCTGCTACCAGTGCACTCGATGCAGTAACCCAGCAGGCGCACGAGGTTGGGGTGGTGCTTCGTGGCCATCTCGTTCATCTGAATAGAGTTGGGAGCAAGAAAGACGAGAGTATAGGCTAAAGAGCTCGCCCTGGTAATGAGTCCACGTCTATGCAGTATCCGAGCAGGCGCACGCGATTGGGGTGGCAGTTCGTGGCCATCTCGTTCACCTGGTAGGGGGATAGTGCGCACATGATGCATCCAGGAGTTGGTCGGCTGCAATGCCAATGTCGGTGCAGTAATAAAGCAAGCGCACAGGTCTAGGGAGGTGCGTTATGACCATCTCGTTCAACGTTCAACTGGCATGGGCGGCACATCCCTCCCAGGGCACATGCTCTCAGTGCTCAAAAGGGACACTACTTGAAGTTTCAGAGAGGATCGTTTGTTTCTCTTTCTCCTTCCTAGCAAGCACCATCTGCACAGCGACACACCTCTCTGCAGAAGTCGTTTGTAAGCACCCTGGCGCGCTTCACAGCCCACACCACAGTGGCATCGTGAGGCGAGGCGACATGCCCTTGACAACATCCCAAAAGCCGCCACCTAGCCTCCCTCTAGCACCCAGCAATACTGCTACACTGCACACCTCACAGCCCACACCACAGTAGCATCATGAGGAAACACCCCCCTTGAACACATCCCCAAAGCTGCCGCCGCTGCCAATCCTGCGGGTTCTTTTCTCGTTCCTTCTTGTCCACTTCGCTTCCTAGCCCGGCTACACACCTCTCTGCACAAGTCATAGGTCTAGGGTCCCTTGCTCGCTTCACAGCCCACACCTCACGGACATCCCATAAGCCGCAACCCTACACACAGCAACTAACCTCTTGCTAGTAGAATAAAGCCCGCCTCTGAGTGGACCCCTTAAACCGGTGCTCACCTCTCTGCGGAAGTCGTTTGTGAGCACCCTCGCTCGCTTCACAGCCCACAGCACAGATGCATCATGAGGCAACACGCCCTTGAACCAATCCCCGAAGCCGCAACCTCATACACAGCAGTTAGCCTCTTGCTAGTAGAATAACCCCCCCTCCCAGTAGCCCCCTTAAACTGGGGCTCACCTCTCTGCGGAAATCATTTGTGAGCACCCTCGCTCGCTTCACAGCCCACAGCACCGACGCATCGTGAGGCGACACGCCCTTGAACACATCCCCAAAGCTGCCGCTGCCGATCCTGTTGCCCTCTGCCCAGTCACCGGTGGCCCGTGCCACGTCAGCAAGGGAGTACTGCTGACACAGCAGCGGCCCGTGCGTCATCATGCCGCTTCGGCCGGGTGGGTCGCTGCCAACTGGTGGCAAGGCTGCCAGTGCTGCTGCTGCTGCGGCTGCCTCGGGTGTTAATGCTGCAGATAGTGAGTGAAGGTTGAAGGGGAGAAAGTGGTGGGAAAAAGTAAACGAGTGCTGATCAAAAGCCTGTGTTGATGAGTGTCATGCTCTTGAACTGACAACTTCTGATCAGCGAGCTGAGCTTCGTTGTCGAGGCGCCCGAAAAAACCACGCGTGACTAGTCCATTTTGGAGGCGCTTAAGAAGAAGAGAGAGAGAGAGAGAGAGAATATATATATATATATATGTATGTATATATGTATATATATATGTATATATATATGCCATCTCGCTGAACATGTGATCACTGAAGAGCGAGATTGATTGACCATGTGTTCTTGCAAGGCGCTGAGCATATGCCATATGCTCTTATGAGCATATGCCAAAAGCAATTACATGTGACGTGACCAGCTCAAAGAATGGTTCTTTGACCATATGCCAGCTCTCACACTCACCGTGGTTCCACTCCAACTTCTAGGCATCTGAAATCACACTCTGGAAACTACACGCGCTGAACCATTCAAGGCATTCTATAATATGAAACTCCCTACATCATACAGTGCCCTTAGCTAAGCCCCAATTTTAAGTCCTAGCCCCTTTCCCTTCCACTCACCACCTCCCAGTGCTGGGTGCTGCTCCCCACCTCCTGCCCCTGCCTCCTCCTTGGTATAGCATGAAACCCCCTACATCGTACCTTAGCCGTGCGTGCCCTGACCTTGGTATAACGTGAAAACCCCTACATCATACCTATCCCTGCGTGCCCTCACCTGACCTATGCCCCAATTCAGTCCCTAGCCCCTTTCCCTTCCACTCACCACTTCCCAGTGCTGCCTGCTGCTCGCCACCTCCTGCTCCTGCCCCCTCCTTGGGCTTCCTCCGATATAAGCACACCACTAGAAGCAAGCCCACCACTCCCAGTACCACCACCCCCGCCCCCACTGCCACCCCCACCACCACCCCCATCGACACCCCTCCCCCCTCCCCTGAAGGGGGGGCAGGGGAGGGCGAGCTCCCCCCTCCCCCTGCCCCTCCGCCAGAAGGAGGGGGAGAAGGGGAGGGGAAGGTGGACGGGGGAGGGGGAGGGCTAAAGGAGGGGGAGAATGAGGGGGTTCCGCCAGTGGTGGGCGCATTGGGGGAAGGGAGGGCGCTGGGGGCAGGAGCGGGAGCAATGGCAATGGGAGGAGCGGCAGGAGCAGGGGCAATGGAAATGGGAGGAGCGGGGGGAGGGGGAGAAGGGAGAGGAGCGGGGGGGGAGGGAGAAGGGAGAGGAGCGGCGGGAGGGGGAGAAGAGAGAGGACCGGGGGGAGGGGGAGAAGGGAGAGGAGCGGGGGGAGGGGGAGAAGGGAGAGGAGCGAGGGGAGGGGGAGCAGGGGGAGGAGCGGGGGGAGGGGGGGATTTTTTAGGCTTAGGCGGAGGGGATGGGGGCTTGTGGGGGGGGGATGGGGGAGGGAAAGGCGGGGGAGGGGGAGGAGAGGGAGGTTCGACAGGAGGGGCGGCGGGAGGTTCGGCAGGAGGGGCGGCGGGAGGTTCGGCAGGAGGGGGAGCGGGAGGAGGAGGGGAAGGCGGAGGAGGGGGAGGATATACGGGAGGCTCGGCGGGGGGAGGGGCGGGGGGTGGGAAAGAGGGAGGCGGAGGGGAGGGGTCTGGAGGAGGGGGGGAGTCGACAACGGGAGGTGGTAGTGGTGGCGCCACGGGTGGCGGTTCTGCCGGGGCGAGTGGGGGGGGGGGGGGGAGGAGGGATGACATGCAGGCACGAGGAGATAGCAGGCGGAGGGGAGTGAGGTGGGGGATATGATTGAATGCATGATTGAAGTAATATGGAGGGACATAAAATACACGTGGGGTGGGGGATATGGCATGGATGCATGGATGAAGTTATATGGAGGGTAACCAGTAAGTAACATGTGACGGTAACAAGTGACAGTAACATGTGTCAGTAGCACGAGACAGTAAAATGTGAAAGTAACTTGTGTCAGTAACATGTGACAGTAGCATGGGACAGTGCACCATGCTACAGTTACCTGCGACAGCAGCGCAGGAGGAGCAGAAGGATGGGCAGTCGGAGCAGAGGAGGGAGGAGTCGACGGGGGGGGTGGGGCACGAGCCAGTGGGGCAAGACCACATCCCTGAGTCGTAGTAGCTGGGTGCATGCAAGGGGCGGCATGGGAACATGTGCGGGGAGAGTGATGGCATGGGAACATGTGCGGGGAGAGTGATGGCATGGGGACATGTGCGGGGAGAGTGATGGCATGGGGACATGTCGGTGGGGGGGGTGATGGCATGGGGCGGATGAGTTTCGCATGGGTGCATGCATGTAGTGGTGCATGCATGTCGTGGTGCATGCATGTAGTGGTGCATGCATGTCGTGGTGCATGCATGTCGTGGTGCATGCATGTCGTGGTGCATGCATGTCGTGGTGCATGCATGTCGTGGTGCATGCATGTAGTGGTTCATGCATGTCGTGGTGCATGGATGTAGTGGTGCATGCATGTCGTGGTGCATGCATGTAGTGGTGCATGCATGTAGTGGTGCATGCATGTAGTGGTGCATGCATGTCGTGGTGCATGCATGTCGTGGTGCATGCATGTCGTGGTGCATGCATGTCGTGGTGCATGCATGTCGTGGTGCATGCATGTCGTGGTGCATGCATGTCGTGGTGCATGCATGTCGTGGTGCATGCATGTCGTGGTGCATGGGGCAGGATGTGAGTGCATTGGGGGATGAAGGGCACGTGTGGACTTCAGAACGTGGAGGGCAGGTATGGCATGGTATGGTATGCTATGGCATGGTATGGTATGCTATGGTATTGCATGGCATGGTATGGCATCGCATGTTATGGCATGGCATGGCATGGTATGGTATGGTATGGTATGGTATGCTATGGTATTGCATGGCATGGTATGGCATCGCATGTTATGGCATGGCATGGCATGGTATGGCATGGTATGGCATGGCATGGTATGGCATGGTATGGCATGGTATGGCATGGCATGGTATGGTATGGTATGGTATGGTATGGTATGGTATGGTATGGTATGGCATGGAATGGTATGGCATGGCATAGTATGGCATGGCATAGCGGCATAGAGCTCACAAGGTGGCGAGGCTGGTCATGTCGCCCATGCTTGCAGGGAAGCTGCCCTGCATGTCGTTGTTGGAGATGTTGCTGCCGTGGGATGGGTTGGGATGGGATGGGTTGGGATGGGATGGGATGGTGGGGGTATGGACGCATTGAATCTGTGTGCAGTACACTGTTGACTTGAAGGAAGCTGCCCTGCATGTCGTTGTTGGAGATGTTGCAGCCGTGGGATGGGGTGGGTTGGGATGGGGCAGGTTGGGATGGGGTGGGCTGGGATGGGGCAGGTTGGGATGGGGTGGGCTGGGATGGGGCAGGTTGGGATGGGGTGGGTTGGGATGGGATGGGTTGGGGTGGGGCAGGTTGGGATGGGGCAGGTTGGGATGGGGCAGGTTGGGATGGGGTGGGTTGGGATGGGGTGGGTTGGGATGGGGCAGGTTGGGATGCTGTAGGTTGGGATGGTGGGGGGAGGCATAGGCATGCATGCCAAGTGGGAGGCATTGAGCATGTGCGTTGAACCTAGTCGTGGTTGCCATGTATTGAAGCAAGCTGCATGGAAGATTGTTGTTGGAGATGCTGCTGCGTGGGATGGGATGGCTATGCACGCTAAGTGGGAGGTATGCACGCCAAGTGGGAGGTATGCACGCCAAGTGGGAGGTATGCACGCCAAGTGGGAGGTATGCACGCCCAAGTGGGAGGCAGGCAGGCATGCATGCATTGCACTTTGGAATGTGCATGTGAGCTTGTGCAGGTTGCCTGGTGACCCACAGGGCCACAGCTGCCTATGTTGGGCGGCACTCTATGACTCACAGGGAGGTGAGCAGTCTGCCTGACCAGCCTCCCAAAGACTGCTTAACGAGGACCCTCAGGTAGTTGAGCATGTGCAGCTTGCTTTTTTGAGGCGCCTCAAAAATAGACTCCTCAGGTAGTTGAGCATGTGCCGGTTGCTTTTGATATGTGGCACACCGTGACTCACAGATGCTTCACTGGGAGCAGTGCAACCCCACGGGCACTGTGTGTGAGAGTGAGAGTAAGACTCACAGGTAGGTGAGGTCCTGCAGGTTGCCCATTCTGGCGTAGACTGTGACCCACCATTAGGTGTGCAGACTTCGACGCACAGATCGTGAGGGAAAAATACTCACAGGTAGGTGAGCTGCTGCAGGTTGCCTATGCTGGGGTACACTGTGACTCTCAGATAAGTGATTGGGAGCAGCGTAAATTCACGGGCACTGTGTGTGAGAGTAAGAGTAAGACTCACAGGTAGGTGAGGTCCTGCAGGTTGCCTATGCTGGGCGGCAATTCCCCAGACAGACGGTTGCTGGCAAGGTTGCTGGGGGGGCGAGGGAGAGTGAGGGAGGAGAGAGAGTGAGGGGGGAGAGGGAGTGAGGGGGGAGAGGGAGTGAGGGGGGAGAGAGAATGAGGAGGGGGAGAGAGTGAGGGAGGGGAGAGAGTGGGATGGATTGTGGGAGAAGAAAGAACAAATGCAAGCAGCAGACACGCAAACGCAAGCTACATCGTCCTTCATGCTGCAGAATGAAGAACTTGTCAGAACTCAGTCACTAACCACAATGTTAAAAGGGCTTGTTAAGTAGTGGGTCAGTGCGCCCATAACCCCCCAGGCATAGGGGCCTGTGGCCCTTCCCCGAGGATCTCAAGGGCAACCCCAGCGGGTATCTCGACAGAACTCCCACCTACCAACCACCACCCACGCGCCATGCGCCATGCGCCCTGCTCCATGCTCCACGAGCCATGCGCCATGAGCCATGCGCCATGAGCCATGAGCCATGCGCCATGCGCCATGAGCCGTGAGCCATGCGCCATGCACACTGTTTTTGAGTCAACTGAGCAACGCGCTCTATGCTGCAGATCGTGGGGAGGAGGCCCGGAGGAGGCCCGGAGGAGGCCCGGAGGAGGCCCTGACGCAAGCACTATGCTGCAGGGCCAAAGCTTTTGAGCCGAATGAGCAACACTCACCGCCATCATTCCTAGAAGCCCCACAATGACTGGCACTATGCTGCAGGGTGCCGCACACGGTGCTGCCCTCACAGGCGTGTTGAGCCGGTGAGATTGGTAATTCCACAGACACGCGCGCTATAATTCGTGTGCCAAGGCAGGCACACAGTGCTGCCCTTACAGGTATGTCAGGCCGGTAAGGTCGGTGATTGAGTCTGGGATGACATCAGTGAGGCGGTTGTACTGCAGATAGCTGGGGGCGGGGGGGAAGGGGAGGGAGAGAGGTATGAAGCGTGAGGAACGCATGTAGCGAGTGAGTGGGGAGGAGGCCCAGAGGAGGCCCGGAGGAGGCCCGGAGGAGGCCCGGAGGAGGCCCGGAGGAGGCCCAGAGGAGGCCCTGACGAGAGCACGCTGTCAGATTTGCTTTTGAGCCGACTCTGAAGCACGCATTTCCTTAACTCACACCGCTTTGACTCACACCGCTTTGACTCACACCGCTTTGGCTCACATTGCTTTCAAGTTCTTTGCATTCCCGAGAGTGGCAGGCAGAGATCCTGCGAGCATGTTGTCAGAAGACCCCCTGTTAAAAGCACACCATGTAGAAGCACACAATAACCCGTGCACAGCCACTGATGTGCGTCATAATAACAATAGTGAGCAATTTGAGATACACAAGAGACACTAGAGAGGGAATGAGACCGGCCCTGATTTACTCTGACTCGACCTTTGATTTAATTTAACATACACCAAGAGCAGGTACACGCCCTGTATGAAGCACGATGAGGCATGCTAGTTTCATTTTGAGAGCCACGCCTTTAAGGGGAGGGAGGGTATGTGGGATGAGAGGGAGTGGAGTGGAGGCATGTTTGAGTGCCACACCTACAGAGGGAAAAGTATAGGCGGTGACTTTTGAGTCGACTCAAAAGACCTATGAGTGCCACACCTACAGAGGAAAAAGTATAGCGGGTGCGAAGGAGTGAAGGCA